GTATCTATATCTATATTATTATTTAAGTTTTAGTACAGCATTCACAATTATCTAAATTTTTTGTCACAAAGAACTTCAAATGCAATAAAAATATGTGAATGTTTCAATAAAATTTATGTTTGAATTACTGCGTTAAATTGGAATTTAACAAAAGCTCGGTTAACTCTACCTTTTTCACCCACATTTGAAAGTTAAAAAAATGCAGTCACTAATCTGGCTGTTGGAAAAAATTGTCAGTAAATCCAATTAAGCAGATGGATATGGCTGTGTTTGCAGAATTGGAATTGGCTGAGAGCAAATTCGGGAGGGCAAAATAATCGTAAAATAAAGAGATTGAAAGCTTTATGGGCCAATAAAAGTTTGCGCCGAGCTGCGAACGACAAGTGGCAGGACGCACGCAAACTCTCGTCTGCACGTAGCAGTTGCGCGGCGCGTAATGAATTTATGCAAATGAAATCCTCAGCGGGCGTGTTTTTGCACACTTTCGCGCAAAGGAAAACGAAGGAGACAAACAGAGAGGGAATTGGAATCGCGCAGGGACCGCTCGTTCTCTTGCTGTGTCTCATCCATTTTACGATGCGCGCGGCAATCAATTTGTTTAATTTATTAAATTTCCTGTGTATGTGTGTTTGAGAATGTTTATTCACTGGGGCTGTTTACGACGCGTTAGTTGATATTCAAGCAATGTAGCAGACGTTATTTAAATATTTATTCTTTGCACAAACAACCCACTCCGCCGGAGATGGAAACGCGTAAAAAGGGGAGCCTCTCGGAAGAAGCAGCAACTTTTTGCGCGTCTTATTAAATTTATTTCTCCATCCCATTACACCAGCCACGACAACGCGGCGGAGTCAAGTGCACTGGCATTACCATCATACACTGAAGCAGCTTTGCGGCACCAACCAAATTATATTCGGCGGCCCGATGTTTTTTCTGCATTAAACGCAAGAGTCTCTCTCTCGCTCGGCATTAAATTCACATCGGTCGTTCCGTTTGCTCGTCGGCTTCTTGCGTGTGTGTGCAATTTCCCCCCTAATGTTTCCTTCCACTTTGCGGTTTTTGTTTACGACGCGGTCTTGTTACCGAAAAGAAATTGCTGCTGCTGGTGAGATGCGGAAAACGCTGTTAGCTTGTTATACCGTCGCAAGCCGTAATTGAAATTTATCAAAATTCCACTCATGCTTTTTATCAGTTCAAATTTTATAAACAACGGGATAGTAAGGGCCATAATTTCACATCAAAACTCGCAGTCATGATAAATTCTGATTAAACAGAAAAAAGGAAAATTATTTTCTTCTTCAGTTTTGTGAACACGAGAAGTTTAAATTGCCGTCAGTTTCCACCTCTCACCGGCATGACACTGATTATTCTCACTCCCCTCCGACTCTGCTGTTCATAGAATAGAACAAGTACAAGCGCCAGATCAATTTAATTCAGGCAGCACGCCAACTTTTCGATTAATTTTGTATCACATTTCCACCCTGAGCTCGTGGCAGAAGAGTGGGCGCGTATTTTACTTTAATTCAACGGCGCGCAAAGTGCAGAGCGCCGAGCGAACTGTGTTTGAATTTTATCTATGGTACGTAGAAATGACTTTTCGGCTGAATGCCAGGGGCGAGTGTTAGCTTTGAATTGAGCAAAAGCGGCGGGTTTGCTTTGCTCATTGCGACTTATTAGTTTAATTAAGGAAAGAACTTGAAGTGCTTGCTGCTTGAGAAAAACCAATTGTAAATTAATGGAGAAATATTAATTACCTGCATATTTTTTTTAATTACGATCATTATCAGAACAAGTTCCTATTGCGGGCAAATACATACGGGCGTTTTCTGTTTTGGGCAATTTCTATGGAAAGCATTTTTGCAATTTATTACCGCGCCATTTGAGAGCTACCTTAAAATTGGATGGAAAATAATTATGTAATATTGAGTATACTAAAGACAGTAAATATAACTTTTTGCGAGGCAAACCAATATTTATATTATGAATTTTATAAGGGGGGGGGGGTATGAACTCCCTGAGTGCAAACTGGCGCAAGTAACATGGAGGCAAAAAGTGGGACCAGGGTAGTATGGGGAGGAAATGGGCAGCATCGACACATGATCTGACAGTCCCAGAAGCGTAAAAGAAATTTGAAACTTTTTGTCAAAAATAGGTGAAATCATTATATCTTTAATTAAACCCCTGGTTCAAAACTGGTTAAGAAATGGTGCAGAACTTGTGTAGAACTGATGCAGAGCAGTTGAACCCGGTTCTGCACCATTTCCGTACAATTTTTGCACGAGATCCACACTAATTCATAATTTGGATACCAAACAATATTAAAATTTTGAATTTCATTCAATTAGAAAAAAAATCATTAAAAAGCACAGTAAAAAAATATATTAATCTTTGAAATTAAATGTTAAGAGCGCGGCAGTGGTGTTGGAGAGGTGCATTTGGTATAAAAAAGTTGATTCGAGTTGATTAACATAATGCTCGGCGCACGGCTTATCTTTTAATTACATGCAGATCGAGCCGCCGACAAGTTCTCTCTCTCTCTCGGCGGTCGCGAATTTCGTGCCGAGGATCAACAGCGGCGGCACCGCCTTTGCAAACACGCTCGCTCCAAATGAATGGCTTTTTCAAACGCAGCACACCGACACCCTCGTCGTCTTGTTTTACAACCTGAAAATGGCATTTCGCACTCGCTGCCGGTGAGCGGCGGCGCTTCCATGCATTCCGCCAGGCGCCAAGATTTATCCTTTCCGTGTTGAAATGAGGCGCCGAGAATTTTCAACCAACCATATAGCCACACTGCTTTTGTGACCTCGTTTCGAAATTTTGCTTTTTAAACAGGGGTGAATTTCATCTCTTATCTCGGCTCATTTATCGCTGCGAAAACACGAGATGAAAATGTGTAATTCAAGTTCACTTTTGCTCTTAATTTATTTTTAATTTAAAAAGTTAAGTTTTATTTAATTTCAAGATGACTTTTAAAATACTGTATTTTTAAATGCATTTTTGATATAAATTTTCAAACAGAAATTCTATACTAAACATAAACTTAATTTTTCTTCTCACCCATTTCAGGTAGAATGATAAAAACTTTATTTTGCAAGAACGTTGAATTTCAAGCACTCACTTTAATCAAATGACGAATATTGCCACACACAAAAAACGCATTTAGACAATTGTCAGTGCTGGTTTCATTCTTCCATCTTTAAGTCTCTCGAATTCCGTATTATTTTATTACCTCGGAAAAGTATCATCTTTCAATTCAATTCTCGCAGCACAATAAAATTGAAATGAGCAGGAGAACTTTAAGCAATTTAAACTTGCGCTGCTGCATATTCTTTCAGTATTGAATATCGAGAGGCAAATACGTCGTGATCTGCACGTCTAACGCCATTTTTATTGATGTGCAAGCTTATCCGGTACACCTTCGCCGTTCAGATAAATTCAGTCGGAGATGTTTCTGCTCCAGATGCAGTATCAATAACACTGCCAAGCCGGGCAATATAATACGTCGCGTTACCAGTAGCTTCCGTTCAGTTCAATATTGCATCTGAGAAACGTGAGAAAAGCTACGGGTATAGTGTTGCAAAATGGATTACATATTCATGCAACGAATACAATTCTCGAATCATTTTAAAGGAAACAAAAATTATTTAAAAGTGTCTAAACATTACATAAAATTTGTCTACATGTATTTATTTTAAAATTTAATTTGCTCATTACTGTTGTAGGTAGAATAGGATGTTGTGTGACTGTAAGAATTTTTAAATAATTTTTCTTCTTCCCTTTTTTATTAATTTTGAGGTAATTTTGATGGAATTTCATTGAAAATCTCTACACTGCCTCTCTGCATGTATAACTTGAAGCAAACGGAAGGCGCTATGGAGAGCACGAGGTGTTGTGCCAATTTGCGTCGATACATCTCTGGTCTAGTGGTTCATGCACGAGTGCAGTCGGTTCACATCCCATTCACCCCCTCTTAAACTCGCGACGCCAAAATTGGCAAAAACCAGCGCGAAGAGTCGCTTGCTCTTCTATTCTGCATGCGGACGAGTGGGTGCGACGCGATAAAAAAATAACACTCCAGCCCCCGAGTCTGGTGTCGGATAAAAGGCGCGGCGAAAATCGATTGCGGGTGTTTGGCTGGAAAAACAGGAGGCTCTCCCGTTGTTGCCGGCGCTGATAGCTGGAGAAACACGTGTTTAATGGAATGATAACAGTGCGCGGTGTAATACGCGAGGCGCCTTCCTGCCAAATTGTTTGTCAAAAATTTCGCGTCGTTTGCACGCCGCGCACATGGCCCAATGCCTCGCTGAACGCAAACATTATCAAATTTGTAATTTATGTGCAAATATTTTGCGTCAGCCGCACGCCGGAATGCTTCTCTTTTTTCATTTATCATGATATAAATGCTTTTATGAAATATATAATGCCATTGAGGAGTTTTTTGTGTGTGAAAAACAGACAGCTTTATGGAGGGATAAATTTTTTGCCTGGAACAAAATAATATTTGTTTTAAAAGACGTGATACTTTGTAAACGAAAATCGTATAAATTATTTTTCTCATAAACAAACTATATGAAAAATGAAACGGAATGAAAAAATGAATGAAATCCAAAGTCCTCAACAAAAGTTCAGTTTTAATAAAGATCTAATTGCAAATATTTAATTTTATTTATTTATTCTCAAATCAAGCAAAATATAAACTGATACATAAATTTATCATTAAAAACTGAAAATCACAATGAATACAGTTGGGTGACGAACAAGGTCCGCTCATCAGCAACAATGAAAAAAGGTTTGATTGTTGTTTGAGCTCTCTGATTGGGTACAAGTAAAGTTGTACCCAATCAGAGAGCTCGACAACAATCGAAATTTTCTGACGAGCGGACCTTGGTGACGAATTTATAAAAATAAGCTATTAAGTTTCTTTTCATTTATTTTATAAAAATAAAAAACAAAATTGTTTCTAACCTATTTTTATTTTTATTGTTATGTGATTGCAGATTGCCTCATGTAGATCCACAGGCGCGATGAGGGTGCTGTGGTGGTTGGCGCCCCTATTCTTGGGGTCGCTCGCCGGGGCCATGTGTCCCCCTCGGTGCGAGTGTGACGACGCGGCCCTGGTCGTGTCCTGCGAGGACGCGCAACTGGAGGTGCTGCCCATCCAGCTGAACCCTGAGGTGGAGACCGTCCGGCTGCGCGGCAACCGCATCGCAAGCCTCGAGTTTTCCATGGCCTTCTACACGCGCCTCCGCTCCCTCGACGTCTCTGCCAACGTCTTGCAGAATCTTGGCCCTGGACTCTTCCAGGATCAGGTCAGAAGAAAGTTACTATTTTTTTTCATAATAAATTAAATTAAAAAAAAAAAAAACTCTTAATTTAAGAATAGAAGGACTATAGAAGGGATCAGTATAAGAAAAAAAATTAATTTCTAAAATGATATCTCATTCAACTTTATATTAACAGTAATTAAAGAAATTTTATACTAAAAAGGAAATTTTTAAATTTTAATAACTGTAAGTTAATGTTTTATGGAAAATTTGAATGTGCATTTTAGCGTCGATTGATGGAGCTGAACGTGAGCAACAACGCCATCACCATGATTTCTCCCGAAGCCTTCTCTGGGCTCACCGACCTTCGAGCCCTCGACCTGTCCAGCAACCAAATCACCAGCGCCAGCGAGGGTGGCGTCTGGAAGGGCCTCGAGAGCCTTTGGGAACTCGACCTGTCGCACAACCGGCTGGACGCCCTTTCTGCCGAGGTCCGTCGTAAATCCTCTAGATGGGTAAAGGACCGAGTGTGTGGTGGCGTCCGCAAATAATTCATGTTTAATGCTTGGTTTTCTAAATGTTAACCCTTGTGACGTCCAACACTCAGTCCTTCATTTTAATTGAGCATTTTGGCATTATTTTCATTCAAAATAGTTTCAATTTAAACAAAAAAAAATTATTTAACTTATTAAAAAAGATGTGCAATATCCGATTTCAATATCAGATGCCATATTTCTGCAATTTATTATGATTTAACATTTCCGAGGCAATAACAGAAAGCAATAACATTCCATCAGCCAGCTCGAATAATGCACCGTGTGAATAGTTTACATTCAATAAGAAAAGTTGCACTCTCTGCAGTGGCTGATGTACACACTTTGACTGCTATGCCAAGTTTGCCGACAACTTTATGAAACGTAATAGAGGAGCGCACGCTGCTCTTTCCCGTTGAGATAGTCAACTCGACACACACACAAAGCTCAATAATTCCCAGCTTCATATCACGTCACGTGTGCATTGAACTATCCGACGCGGCATTGCTGAGAAAACTTTTTGCAACAAAGCTCGTCTTGCACATTTTATGAAATACCACCCCGAGTGAGCAAAGTAGACTGCACCGCGGCAAAAAGTTTTTACAAATAACGTCTTTTTATGGAAGTTTGCTGTTGAGCACCACAAGAGCCGTGCATAGAAAAACGCTTATAATACTTAATATAAACTAAGTATAATATTTTTATTAATGGCTTCTTTAATAATTTAAATACATTAAAATTTATTTTAGTATTAAAGTTTGCCTAATTATCATTAAAAATGTTAATAAATGAGCTGTTTGTTATTTAAACAATATATCTTAAAACAAAAATATTTTATTTAATTTTTTTTTTATTATTTACTGCAGGTTTATTTTGGTACAATTTAGAATTTTTTAACTTGACATTAATTAGAAATAGTTTATAATTTCCATCACTTTTGCTGAAAATTTTAAAACATCAACTTTTCATTCAGGATGACGACAGCGATTGTGCCCCATTGCGAAATCTGCGCACCCTGATTCTCGACGGCAACATCTTTTCCTTCCCGCCGTCCAACTGCTTGGCCCACCTGGACTCGCTGCGCCAACTGGGCCTCGCAGACAACAGACTGACCTTCATTGGCGAGGAAGCCTTCCCCGCCACGATGGGCGAGCTGCAGACCCTGAACCTGCAGGGCAACCAGATTGCCAGCCTCACGCCCAACTGCTTCTCCAATTTGACCAAGCTGCAGGTGCTGGACCTGTCGGACAACAACATCACGTTTGTGCCCACAACCTCACTGGCCAGACTGGGCGCCCTGCAGGACCTCGACCTGAGTGGCAACCCCATTTCCAGAATTGCACCCCTCGCCTTTCAGGTAAAGGAAAAAAATGATAAAAATAAAACGATAAGCATACATTTTGTATCCATGAATTTAAAAGAAAATTTTTAAATTATTTTATAAAATCTGCTCTGTAAATTTCACCTCAAAGTCTGAAAAAAATAATGCAATATGTACTTTAAAATTGGATGGACTAAAAATTTTTACATTTCCTTGGAAAATTTCAAGTAAAAGGTTTATAAAAAAAGTTGATCATTTGAACAAGATATCACGGCCTTAGGTAATTCAAAACTCATTTTTTATGTCTTGAAGAGAATAAATGCCGGCCTATCTTAAATCAGATTCACATCCCTCGCACTTAAATTTTAGTGCCCTCCAGTACCATAAAAGAAACCAGCACAATTTGGCAAAGTTTCAAACGCGCTGCTGCTTTTAAGTCAGGCGGGACAGGCTAATTAACCACTCAGCCTCTTTTGCTATCTGCAGAATTTCCTTTCAGAAATGAAACAAAAAAGCCAATTCCTCAAAATTAGCCCACTTAAGAGCGTCACTCTCGTCTCGCTTTTGCATTACACAAAGGCGGCGCGAGAAATAATTTGCGTCTGCTCTGAGTGGTTGCATACATTTTGCACTTTTGTGAAATTGATGGGTGCCAACAGGCGTTGTTCGAGCTGAGAAGACTGCGAGTGTCTCGTCTGAGTGAGCTGGAGCACATTGATCCGCGCGCCCTTGTGGAGAACGTGCGGCTCGAAGAGGTCCGTCTCGAGCTGTGTCCTCGACTCAAAAGGCTGCCGCCGCGCCTCTTCCACTCCAACCCTTTGCTCACCAGAGTCGCCCTCAGGGGCAACGCGCTGCAGACGATTTCTGCCGGCGACCTGCCGCTGCGTCAGCTGCGCTTCCTCGCGCTCGCCGACAACCCTCTCAGGTGCAACTGCTCCCTGCTGTGGCTGTGGAAGCTGGCCAGGAGCTCAGCACAGTAAGTGATACATTTTAGCAGCCCAAGTTTTGCTAAAAACTAATTTGTTTTAAACTAATTTATTTAGTTTCAATTTTTAAAGTTTATAACTCTCAGCTTATACCAAGTTAAATTTTGTAAATTAAATCTATATAATATCTAAAATACTTATTTATTTTATGAAATAAACTATTTATATTTCAATTAACAAATATTTTATTCAAATTGATTATTTAATTTAATATTTTCATTAAAAAATATTTTCCTTAAAATTATTTTCTGTTTCATAAAACTATTTTATTATTTGCTTCGCTTAACTTCAACTAATGAGGATAATTGTTCTGTTAGAAAACTGGATGTGTTGTGTAGGTGTAGGACGCTAATATTAATTTATAATATATAATTTCAAAAAAATATTCAAGACCATAAACTTTTTTTGAATAGAAAATATCAGAAGTATTTATGAAAGATTGGAGCTTACCTTCCGCAAGCTCAATAAGGGCACAGGCCGACAAGACACTTTGTCTTGGCCTGACCAAAAAAAAAAAAAAAAAAAGATTGTCTAACTATTGCATAGTCAGAAAGATAAGTTTATAAATTTAATGGAGTTTATATTTCTTGCACTATGTATTAAAAATTACTAACACTTTTTGTAAATACTACTCGCCTGAAATCAAATTCGCTTAATCAATGGCAAAGGAAACTTGCTTCCAGAAACCCACCCTCGTATGGCAACCACACGCCAACCTGGGCCGAGACGGCTGGCGGAGCAACCTGCTGGGAGCCTGTGCCCTTGCGGGGGACGCCTGTGTACAAAGCGCCAGAGGAGACTGTCGGCTGCGAAGCCTCTTGGGCAACTGTGCTGATGGTGACCGGGGTCGTCCTCTCCCTCTTCACACTGACGTGCGCGATTCTCTTTTACTGCGGCGGTGGCGGACGTTGGTGTAGGGCCGAAACCACTGATACACCCTCATCCAGGATCAACGGAATCAAAGAAGTAAAAGAGTCATTTTATTTACTCTAATTGAATTTGTAATAAGATATTATCAAGGGGATTGAAAAGGAAAATTGTGAACTTATTTTGTTACTCGTCTTGTTGTTGCACACACGAAAGATAAGATGTTTTGGGGAGTTTATTTATTATCAACAGCTGACTAAATTTAAATTCAATTAGAGCAATTGCATTTAAAGAGTCATTTTTTCCCTTTTTTTGGCCAATTTAATTAGAAATAAATATTAATATATATAATATTGATAAATTTGCTTTTTGTTTTTTAAATTTTACTATTTCATATAAATTAATTTGTGATCTCATTTTATAGCACTATCCTCAGCCACCTTCGAGCAATATGTACCACCAGCACCACCTATTGCACCACCATCACATGGGACTGGGCCCTCCGCATATGTGGACAGACCCTGACCAGGTGGTGCCCCCTGAGTACGAGTACGCCACAACCGACGGTGGGCTGATCTCGGTGAAGAAGCCCTCGACGTCCAACTCGCTCGGCGTTTACGTGTGACATCCGGCCCGGACCCCGCATACCACCCTAGTATAGCTGGGTCCGCCTCCGCCGCCTCCTCTCCGCCCCATGAACTGTTCCGAGCAAACACCACATTAATTGTTTCCTTTTCTATACGCGCAATAATGTTGGCTAGTGATTAGTCTTCCTGGACTGATTTGTGAGAGTGGCGCCTTTGAGAAAATGGTCTCGAGGAAATAAGAAAAGCCCAAAATTCTGGGGCTCCGAGCGTCCCAATAAAAGGGGTTCCCTGTCTCACAACTGAGAGAGTGCGATTTTTTTACGCAACGAGATTCCAGATCGATTGAGAGGTGACACAATTTTAATGTTTTATAAAAGAATCGTTTTGGATAATGAAGAATTCAAAAGATAGCCAAATTTTTAAGTCGTTAATTAGCTTATGATGTGGAATCTCATGCTGAAGAACTCAAATTTAAATGTATCCTACTGACGAAAAAAGACAAAGTATGTAAATCACTGACAAGAGATCAGCAGCAGCTTGTTGGTAGAATCGGGAAAAGAGCTAAAATGTGAAATATTTTCTCATCGACTGGTTTAAAAAGTCTCAAGATAAAAAAAATATCAGCTCTTACGGTGCATGTACATACATGTGTACATATGTGGAAAAATTAATTTAGAAATAAATGTAATAAGTATATTAACAAAATCAAAAGTTCACATGCTGATTGAAAATTGTGTAAATTTGCGAGTAGAGTGGATGGATGTAAGAGCCAAAATCCAGATTAAATGAGGGATGAGTCTGCAGAAATTGTGATGAAGCCAACTTGTAGCTGCTGCAAATAAACCCTGCCAGTCCGATAAACAGACATGAAATATTGCGGCTTTTTACATGATTAATAATGGAACAATATCTTGCCATGCTATTCAGTTACTGTAATCAACCCTTTTCTCTAAAGAAATCATGCAAAAATAGTGCAATAATAATTGAGTATTGCTAAAAAAAAAAAACTTATGTAATTGTGTATATTTCCAAGCGCAGTTTGGTAGTTTGTCCATTTTTTGTTGAATTTACCAAACATGTTTTCCTGCTATATCCAATAATTATTTTTATCTATGGTCAGGCATTATTCTGTAAATATTACCTATACAAATTTGTAAGCTTAGAAATTTTAATTAATAAAAAGAAATAAGAAAAATATTATAGCCTCAAAAAATAGTTATTGCAGTCTTCACCCTATAACCGTTTGTTTTCAATCTTCAAATTTACTCTGAATACTAAAAATGCAGCTCCATTTGCCACAAAGAACTCAAAACATCAAATATACATAGAGAACAGATAAGTAAATAAAACTCTAAAAATCATGTAAATGCCTTTTTTTAATAATTTTGATAATTTACAGGTCAATGAACCTCTATTGGATTAGCACCAATTTACAAATAGGAAGGCTTCCCATAGATTTTTACTTTATCCAGTATTATAAATTCTTTACCTTCATGTAATAAAATCATTGTTAACACATTTCTAGTTATTACATAAATAGTAAGATTTTTCTAACATATTAAAAAGACAACCAACTGGGTAGGTGTTAGGGGAGAATACAAAAGACAAAATAATCACAATTGAAATGCCTACCAGCACGTCACTTGTTGAATCACAATAAATCAGTCAATATCACGCTTGCATTGCCAATCACTAGGCCTCCTCCAACTCACTCAGGTCGTCGTCGTCCCGCAGCTCCAAATCTTCATCTCCAAATAAGACTTCATCCAAAACTGCAAAATGCAATATATAAAAATCCACTGGATATTAATCAAACCATTAGAAGCAGTACCATTGAACACATGTTCCAGCTTTTTGAGGTTTCTTAAGGTGCCAGACAACTCTTTGGAAGGACTTTTGTTAGGAGAAGTTGTTGCCGGCTCCGATTCCTCTAGAAGATTCAGAGCGTCTTCAAGCATAAGCACTTTTTCTTGGTCCTCTTGAAACAGAACTCTGCAAAATTTTCATGTTTTAAACGAACATAAGGATTTAATCCAAAACAAACCTCAGCTTTCCTAATACATTGTGAGAGCTTCCCTTTATTTTGTTGGAGAAACCGTGAATTGCAGCAATGACAAGGTTATCCAATGCCTACAAATTCCCAATTTGAAAAACATGTATTTATATTACATTCAAATTGTTCATCTCACCTCGAACTTCCCTCTGCTTCTGACTGAGGAGGTGGGTGTTGTGTTACGAACAAAGCCTCTTGAACTGCCTCCTTCCAGCGTCTCATCGAGGGACTTCTACAAATATTTTAGTTCAGCAAACTACCTCAGGGCCTTAAACAAATGAAACATACCTTTCTAGGGCTCAAATGGTCAGGAGGCTGCGAAACAGCTCTCAAGGGAGACGAAGGAAATTGCCTTAAGTGTCTGGGTGATACTGAGCTGTTGCTCTTTTCTGCCAGTTCCTCGTCGGCAGAGAGGGTGGCTTCGTCTTCAGACGTGGCGTTCGAGCCATGCGACGAGTTCATGGAGGCCATGGCACCCGTTCCGTGGAATGAAGCGGATCTCAGGATAGAATTCAATGGGCTTTATGATTTAAATCATTAAATCCAAATTTTAAATATTACTTTCTGCTAACAATACCTTGCATTTGGTGAAGAATGCGTCATCACAATCGCCGACTGCGTCATGATGTCTCCACCTTGATTGGGGTTGACTGGTTTTGCTGCTGCGGCAGCTTTCTTTTTGCCCTCAGCAGCTGCTTTCATGGGGTCGTAATTTTTCCTTCTCTTCCAATTCTGGAATTCAAGCTCCTTGGAGCACAAGTTTGAGTTGCTCCTGTTGCCTCCGGACGAATTTGTTTTCTTGGCTGGCTCTTTCTTCGCAGCATTTGCAGGTGGTTTGCCTTTGGGTGCAGACGAAGATGGAATCTAAATAAATATTACATTAGCTTTGAATAAGTTCGGGTTAAAAGGTGTCATGCCTGAGTGTTCGCTTTGCCTGCACGAAGACTGAACCGGCCACCATCTGTCCTTTGGAAGTTACTGCTGCTGAGTGGAGGTTTGCTGACAGTCTTGGGAGGTTCCTTTTTCAGTTTGGATACTGCAGCTGGGGGTGAGGGTTTAACGAGTGCTGGTTTTGGTGGTTGCTGCAGGGCCTTAGTCTTGGCCTCATCAGCCTCTAATCTGGCTCTCCGTAAGCTAGAAAATAAACTAGTGAGAAACATGTGTCACCAAAAAATAATATTTACGGCTTATAAATAAACTATTTATTTACATGCCAAAATATTCAAACACAACTAGCAAATAGCTTAAACTTATAAATCGGGGCAATAATTTTAATACACAAAATAATAAACTCAGCAAATACAAAATAACACTGCACAAATATATTTATATCTTTGAGCAGTACAAATAAATATTACCAACTCAAGCAGGCATACAAGGCATCGCTGCATGCTGGCGTCTACCGAACATGCTATCAACCTTTGCCATACCTGAACGCCCTGTTGTACCTTGTATGAGGTCCCACAGAGTCGGAACGCTCTCTCGACCTTGGTTTGTGGTCCCCAGCGTCACTACTGCTATCGGACTGCCTCTCATCTTTGCTCTTTGTTCCAGTCACCCTATTCCAGAAGATTGAAATTACATGATTACAGTGTCACACTTAAACCTTACCTTTTCAGTGCAGCCGAGGTTGGTGCAGGTGCCACTGGTGGTGGAGAAGGAGCTTTGGCCACGGCTGCTGCTATGGCTGCATGGTGTTTTGACCTGACAGACTTTTGCTCCAGGGCTTTCAGCTTGGCCCGAAGCTGAGCAGTCAAGGACTTAGCAGTGACTGCTCCAGAGGAAAGACCAGCCTCTTCCTCTGAATCAGCATTATCAAGAGTCTGGGAGGTCATCCTGGCCTGCATGGCTGACATAACAGACTCGGTGGTGCGCAGGTAAGACTCGGTCTCATTATCCACTGGCCGCTCCTGCAAATTTTATTAAAAACGTGCCTTATATTTTAAATACACGTTGACTGACCACATTTCTTTTGTGGACTGGACTTTCGGAAGGATCAGAGAAATCACTGGCCACTGGCGAAGAAAGACTTGGTAACTTATATCGTGCCTTTGCAGATGCGGACGGCTCAGTTGGAGGGGGCCAATTTCGACTGGGAGGCGCTGGACTAGCTCTGGGAGAAGGTTTTGTGCCTCTCAGTGGGGACGTTGCTGAAACGTCTAATCAGCAAAGGTTGTATTAAATAAATATGTCATACTACCTCGTCCTTTGCTCTTTATTGACGGTAATACTGGCTCGTTTGGCGGAGAAAGGGGCTGGGTGTTGTGCTGTTCAGCAACTTGTGCAGCCCATTCTTTAATCCAATTAGGACCAGCACGGTAACTTGAAGACTGGAAACATTTCCTCAATTAAGCAAGTGATCAATATAAGAGAATGGCTTAATTTACCAGAACTGTGTGTTCCTCGTGGCCATTTTTCATTTCCTTATTCCGAGTGAATGTCCTGTTGTCGTATCCACCCCTAGCCTCATCCTCTCCAACTCCAAATACTGCATCAATATCACTCCTGGCTTTTTCCTCGTCAGGGGACGGACTCTCCTTGTCAATCGTGTATGTTCCAGTTTCACTACCATTGTCCGAAAGGGTTTCAATGACCTCCTTTTCAGGACTCTTGGTTGGAATGCTGGCCTTTTCGGCCAGAATCTTTGCAAAATGTTGTGAGGCGCTTTCCTCCAGGGAAATAGTTCTTCTTTCACCAGCAAGAGGCCTCCTGCTGTTTGGTGAGTTGCTCTCAATAGCAAGAGAGCTAACAGGTTTCGATTTTTTGTCCTGGGTCAAGGTCGAGGGCTTCAATACTAAAACAAAATAGTCAATTACATTCAACAAATGATTCAGATGGAAGATAAAACTGGAGAGTAATGTCTTATATTTTAGTCTGAGTAGACAAAATGACATAACAAATAAAATTTCTGTGAAAAATCATTGGTGCAAACTTCCAGCAACAATAATTACTAGCGTGAATCACTCGGTGACACAATTGAATGAAGAAGACTCACTTTTCTCTTGGTTCTTTTTCAGGGCTGTGAGATCGCTCTTGATACTGAGATCTTCATCCTGATCACTGGAGAAGTATCCCTCAGAGTGGTAGCCCGCCCTTCTGAGCATGGGGACTGCGGCAGGCTGGACCGTTGGGGACAAAGCTGGGGGTGAAGGTTTCTTGACCTCCATTTCGCTTTTTCCTTCCTTTTCCTGCTTCAGAGACTGAAAATGTAATAAAAAGTAAAAATATTTATTTTTCAATCAAAATAATTACTAACCTTTGCTTCTTCTTGTCTAGAAAGAGACAAGTTCCTGATGTGCCGCGGTGCGAACTTGCTGATGCTGTCGCCGATGTCCAGCTTTTTTCCGTCGTTGAAGTCGATCGTGAAAGCCAAAGGATAAGTGCTTGGCGAAGGTGGCGGGGGCTGTTTCTCAGGGCTGGAAGTGGACGACGACAGAGGCTGGGCAACGTCGGACAATGAGGCGGCCAAGGTTTCGTCGTCGCCGCTCGGCTTGTGCGAACTGGTCGGGGACGAGCTGGTTGAGGGTTTTTCGGAGCTGGCTGGCTCGGTACTGCCGCTGCTGCTCGGGGTGGAAGCTTCTTCTAGAGGACTGGGTACTTCAGTGGTCACCGACGGGGCGGCGCCCTCTGCAAAAAAGAGCGACAGGTGCACGTTAGAGTGGGAAATTTTGCGTCATTCGATCGGAATTCGTGAATCAGCGGAAGTATCGACTGTTTTGTTGTGGAAAATTGGTTCTGGAAAGGTGGAAATATTTTACCATATCAGTTTCAATGAGTTTCTTAACTCGGGGAAAATTTTATTCTGATGAAATTTATTATCTGCTAAATTTTCCTGTCCAGTTTCAGAGAACCGCACAAAAGCTTGATAATGTTGCGGAAAATCTGTCTGACATATTTTGATTGAAATGACACATCGATAATGCAGTTGCGGAAAATTCACGCCAGTTTTTTGGCATAAAAAAAATGGAACGGGAGCAAAGCAAGGACGTCATGACGGCTACGTGAGTCATCACGGGCGCAAACAGCGAATGAATTATTATAACATGCCACCGACTAGCTCCACCGTGAAATGGAATGACTATTCACAGAAATTCGTGCGGTTTGCAATTTAAAAAAGAGAGACGGTGGCGGCAACTGATGAATACAAAGCGATCTCCGCAACTCCTAAAAAAATGCAGACTTTTGTCGAGTTTTTCAAAACAAGCGTCTGGCTTGGAGGTTCATTATAAAGGTGTCTCTGCAATTAATTTTTAATAAGCTGGAGATTTTGCATCAAACAATTTTCACTCCCTTGCAATAACACTTTAATCTTAAATTAAATTACTTTTGAAGCCACACGAGCTCTCAAATTATTTATCATTGCTTCGGAGCTGACGCAGATGATCAAATATTTACTCACAATTTGCGAGACGCAGAGAACTCTTAAAGGTGAACGACCAGACGCGAAAGTGCACTTAACCCCTTCACTCTAATCAAAGTTCGCCCCTAGCGACAGTCCAAATAACCGAAATTGGGGCCCCGCGGCGCCAAGTATTGCTCTTTGAAAGGCTGAACTGCAATGAATGAGCACATAGAGCGTCTGCCACAAGTTGGGCATAATAAATACCTAGGCAGCGAGATAGGGCTCTGTTTGGAGAATAAATACAAGGGCAGCCTAATTACGTGATAAAACGCGTCGGCCGAGCGAATATTTACCAAAGGGGGCCTCCTGCGTCGGTTGGCACTGCATTTGAGGGGGCCAGAGGGCCCTTTCGGCTCCAAAAGGGCGTGCTGTGAGATAGGTCAGGTGAAGGGCCACATTTTGCGTCGATCGATAAAGTCGGCGAGTTGCGAGCAGACAGGCGCAATGAGCGCGGCTGCTTCAATTGCGCCCCCGGCAATTAGGAATTGCAAATCGAGGCGAGGACATCAAGTATTTAAGCACTTTTTAAGGGAGAGCCGGCAGTGCAGAGGTTTTGCTCACTCGGGCGAGCACCTCAATCATATTTCCCTCTCGAGAGAAGCGAAGGGAGACGCCAAAGGCAGTTAGTGCCTGTCTCGTGCCGACGGATGAAAGTCGCCATGTGTGTGATTCGATTTTGCATAATTAGAAAATGATGCGATTAAACTACGGCGGGCACGATTTCAGCGCTGGCTCCAAAGTGAGACTTGTTTAGGGGAGTTTTACACCTTAGGGCACCTTAGGGTTGAGCCAAAGAAATTTGATATCTTGACATTACGAAATGTCAAGCTGGGGAGATGACTTGATGAAATTTAATCTACAAATTTGAATTTTTTGAAGATTGAAAATTAAACTTCTTAGGTCAAAGTCGACTCTGAAAAAGTCAGATTTTTATGCTCAACCCAGAAAAATGTCGCATTTACCCACAACAAATGATGGATTGCAGAAGTTCATCTATTCTTAAAAAATAAGAATGGCAGACGATTAACACAAATGGAGAGAAAAAAAGGAAACTCTCTGCTCACCCATTAATCTTCTGCGTTTAAACCTGCCTAGCATTTTGAAAGAGGACAAAAGTCAGGCGAATTCGCTTAGTTCATCTCCAGAATTTGAAATTCTGCTGCTTTTGTGTCTCCAACAATCGAACTAATCGTCATTCGGTCTTATTCTCGTTTTCAACAATGAAAATAGCACCACGTGACTACGATTGCGATCTTTTTTCCCTCCAACGGTTACGCTTCAACACGCAGCGCGGATGCTCACATGCGAGACACTTTTAATTGACTTGTTTCCGCGTAAGAAAGAAAGACGATCCGCCCGGGAAAACATTAAAATGCGACACTTGGCGCGTCGACGTTATTACACAAAACCCGTCACTCGATCTATGCACCAAGTGTAATTTTAACCTTGCTCGACTGGGGTTTCGCACTTATTGTGCTCAGTATAATAATGTATAAGTGGATTGCCGCGTGCAAAGGTACAAAAGCGTGTGATTTTAGTATATATTTGCGATTCAAAAAAACTCCCCTTTGAAAGTCAATAGTGTTAAGCAGTGCATCACATCACAATGATATAATAATCGCGATTTATCTTTCTCAGGAATGTTTTTTTTTTTAAATATTTCTTTTTGACATTTAAGCCGTCCCTCGCTTTTATGTTGCACCAAGAGATTATGCCTGGAGAATCAAGTATCCATTACGGATTATGGCGTCTTTTTATCCTTTTACGGTTGTTGGTCTCTAAATTATTAATGCAGCTGAGCACGCAAAATATTTTGTGCAAGCTGACTCTTGAGCTTTGAGTGGTTTTAAAGACATAAACCAGCCATAATAATTCAAGAGTGTATGTATATATGCTAATAAGGATTTAGATTTTTTTTTAATAATTATTGAAGAAAAGAGTGGTTGCACAATAATAAAAAAAAAAACTTGGTTTCGGCACTTAATAAACTTCATTGCTCTAATTACATTTATTTTAATGAGTAAAATTTAATATTTGTTCAATTTCTAGAGAAAATAAATTATTCATATTATAGGGAATTGTAATTTTTTTTTGTCGTAAGGATTTCTTTTACAAATTCTTATTATTAAATAAATTGATACGTTTTTTTTTAATCTCTTAATTAGCTCTAAAATTTAACACTTCTTTTATACATAAAAGTATGTTTCCTTGAATAAAAATTTCTATTGCCTCATACTTAGAACACTTATGAAAAAATTTCAACTACAAGTTTCGAGGCAACTTTAGATGGATTTTCATCTTGATCGCCGTTGAGAGCTCCATAATATTGATTCGGTTGCGGACCAGAGGAATGCTAACAAAAGCCTGCACTAGCTGCAGCACGGCAGCAACTCGCCAACGCTGCTTTAACTGTTCGCAGTTGATTCGTCCAACGCGATAACGCTTTAATTAAATAAAAGCCAGTGCGCCGTGAAAATTAATTACTCGGCAATAAAATGCGGCTGCAAATTGACGCAAGTTTGGAAAACATAACAAAAAGAAAGTATTGTTAATAAATAAAAAAGAACAACGCAAAGTTTTGTACTGCGCGAAATGAAATTAAACGATAAGGCGAATAGTAATCATAATTGCCTAGTAGGGGTAATTACGTTTCCCACGCACTTCACACACACAGATTTGATGGAAATCGTGCACGCCAGCAATTAAGCCCGCGTATACTACCAGGCAAGTGTGAAGAAGTTTCGTTTGTGTAGATAACAAAGTGGGATCTCGCTGGCCACTTGAGCATGTCTGTCCGAAACTTTTCCCGCCTCGCCCGATTGACAGAAAGCGACAAAAGCAGCGGCGCCGATTTAATAAACAAAGACGCCTCCCGCGCTGCATTAATGAGGATTTCCCATGCGATGGCGAAGAAGACATAAAAAACAATTCGAGTGTTTTGTTCTAAGGCTAATCGGACCATCTGCTCACGTACTCTGAACGTGATTGCGCGTCACATCCTGCGTGCATCGCAACCCCATAAGGACCGCAGCTTTCCGACCCTTTCCTTTTTCTGACTCCAAGTTCCCCCAGCGCAGTGTATCGCGTTTGAAGTGGCCCATTTGTTTCTCCGCTCCCTTTATAATTCGGAGAGAGCGCCTTTCCCTCTTCTCTCGCACATAAGAACAGACGCGAAAAAAATCTGCAAGCAAGCATGAAATTCTGCGGGCCTATTGTATGGAAAATTATGCTGTGGAAAGAGCTAGACGGCTGCAATAATAAATCTGCGCGCAATCATAAATTTGAACTCACTTTTTAAGAGCGTATGCGTTTATTTATATATCAACACGCCCGGCTCCAGAAATTTATAGTGCGTTGAAGATGCTGAGGACACATTGTGTGAAGAAGAGGAATCTTTTTTAAAAATAGAAAGCGCGTCCCTCCAGTAAATTCTCATTAATAATTCTGGCGGCTGCGGCTGACGCTGGGTTGACAAAAGCACTTTTCGGAGGAATAAAAATCGTTTATGACGAATGGTCTCCCGATCGAGAGTAAAACCGAAACTAACACTTCTGCAGAAGACGTTTCCAAATGGATCGGAAGAGGTATCGTCATCATTCACGTTTATTGTTTCTGTGCCGCAAACCGGACGACTTTTGCGTCACACGCTCGATTTGAATATTTATTCCGTTAAGACCGGTGCCAAAAGCTATAAAAAAACGAAACGATTTACAGTAATAACACAAGCTATTGCATGTGTATCTCACTCTCTGCTACGTGTGAAAGGAGTGAAACAAATATTATTCTTTGTTTGCGATTGTTCATTGGGCTATTTTTGGCGCAATCACAACAGTGGGCAAAGGGCATGGTGTAGAAACACGCGGAAAGACAAAGTGTTAGCGAGGCATTTAAATTTTTGATTGTTGCTATGTTGGTACACAAGGCATGATGGCACGTTTTGCTGTGAATTATCTTCCGCACACGTACATGTATTTGCTTGGTTGGTTTTTATTGTTATTTGTTCTGAACAGAGCTGAATGTTCCAAGAGCCAAGAAAATTCCTATTCGGATTGAAAGCAAGTAAATAAGGCTTAAAAATATTAAAATGAATCATTTAATTGCAACCAAATGATGAAATAAATAAAATAAAAAATAATATTTTAAATAAAGGATTTAAACATTTTAATAATTCCATTTTACTTTTTATCCTCTTGTTAATGAATGTTATTTACAGATTTAAACTTAATGTTTTCTTAACTTTGATCAAAATCAATAAGGAAGTCAAGTTTGTAAGCTGCTAATATCATGCACTAATTAGGTACTTCAATCTAAAAATGAGCAGTGATTTTTTTTCTCTTTCGAAAGTTTCAACAAAACCAAGGAGTGCGCACCGCCAATTAGCCTCATTAGCAATACTCACCCAAGAGAACGCGGCAGGAATTGAAATGTTTGAACACGCAAAATGTTATTTCTGTCACGTTTTTACTCTTGGAATTTGGATCAATATAAAACGTCAGAGCAAACGTCTCTTTTTACGGCGGCGTGCATTATACCATATTTTTCAATGATCACCTTGTAGCAAACTGCGTGATTTCTTTTTATTTATTTGTGTTGCTACCTTTCGCGCAGTGCAGGTGCAACGAGCTGAAGGAAGGAGAATTGGAACTAATTAATAATGAATGAATGGAACGACCCCGCCTGCCAACTATGCACAACTGCAGTGCAGCATTTGCCCAACCAAGTAATTCAAACGGAGGAAAATAAAAGAGGCCTTGAATATTTTACGTCCGGCGCCGGCAGCAGCTCTTGCTTGCACCTCTCATAATTTGAATTATAATGGGACGTAAACCAAAAGGACCATATTTAGTCACAGCTCGAGTGCAGCTTCTCGCAGCTGCCGGTGTGGGAAACGCCTCATCTTGTGCTCAAGTCGGAGCCAAGAGCGAAAATCCTCCAAGCTCATTTTGAATGCACGCAGGTTGGTGGATAATTGCCTTTTGAATTTGTTCCGAGAACATTATTACTCTGGACGACTGCGATTAATTTGCACGCCATTTAAATAAGAATTGCCGAGGTTGCTTCAGAAAGTATAAAATTAAAATTTATAAAAAAAAAATGTCGCGGAGGGCAACATTATTTACGGCTTTTATCTTTAGCAAGTGTTTGGCTTGCCCTCTCACTGCCGCACAATGTTGTCTGGGCGCGGTCCTCTTTTCTAACTTAGACAAAAGGTGTGTGTATTTAGCCTGCCCTTTTTTAATTATTAATGAGCCCCATTATGCACAAGTGGAGCTTTTCGTGCAGAAACACGCAAGACTGCGACGCCGTCTCGGATTCATGAGCTATTCTTGGTACTTTCATTGATTAAAAAACTCATGATTGAAAATCTGAAACCTATAATTCAACTAAATATTTAAATTTACTGAAAACATTTTGCCAAACGGGCGTTATTTTTGGAACAGTTCAAAGGCAGCGCAAAAGTAACCGAATGAATGGCGAGCATTGTTTTCTGAATCACTCACCGAGAGTAAAAACATGTTCTAGTGTCAAAGAGCATTAAAGTGAAAAAAGTGACTGAGCAGATAATAAAGTTACTTATATTGGCCGTCTGTCGAGCTCGTTACTCAGGAATGTATCGGGCCTTATGGATGCACGCGATGATAAATAAATCAGCAGTCGCGCGCGCATTAACATATATACGCGTTGGAAATGTGACCCCGAGCACTGCGAGTGCACGTGACCTTATTTGAATGATGCACACAGGGCCTTGAACTGCTATTAAAGCCTATATAAATACTGATAGGGGTGCTGCTGTCACCGCTGCTTTGTGTTTGTACAAATGAGGGCGGGTAAATATTAATCTGTGCAGAGTAAACACGTCTTTTTGTTCCTGTGAATGGAGTACAGTGCATGAAGGATGAGCCGCGCCTGCTCTGAAAAGGTACGCACCATGTCGGCACAATTTCAAAATTTGGACGCGCGCGTTTGCACCGCACGCATTTGGAGCCGCGCTTCCTCTTCGTTAGAGACAATAAAAGCGAATCGACAAAGATGCCGATAAATTATTCAGTCTGGGGAACAAATGAGCCAGTCAACATTAACATTCGGCTGTTTCGTGACGAGAAATAGGAAAGGAAATGTTGAAATGTTCACCATAATTTTCTCGGTAGCGAAGAAAAAGGGCAGTAAACTTTTACGAGCGCTCACTCTGTTTGCATATCGCCTAATTAACAGAGCTCAGAGGTGCATTTTAGTCCAGTTTCGATAACAGTTCGTTGTTGTTTCATATTAACGTATTCTTGTTTGACCCACTAGCGTGTGAGAGAAATTATTGCGGTTTACAATTATATGCCTTTCGCATCCACTACAACTGTCACTAATTGCATGATGTAAAACGTTTATTTAATTTAAATACAACTGACAAGTTCTTCTAAAATGAAATTATGCACGACAGTTTGACCCTCAAATGTCTCTGTCGTTTCGAGTTAAGCCACATAAGGTGCGAAGTGCCAGTATGCAAAGTGACAAATCGGACGATTACGATCGTCTGCCGTGTCCCCTCAAATGGCCAAACCAGCCTTCCACGAAAGGAGACGACGTAAGTACAAGTCACTAAAGTAAAGCGTATTACCAAATGTCGCGCCGTGGCGTTTCAAGAACATTTTTTGTCCTTTTTTTTATATTTTTGCTTACCATCGCAGGTTCAAAGGATCTTTTCCTTTTTGTTAGATTATCTCATATTATTGCCTGCAACTCTGGCGCTGAGCCACGATCGTCGTGTAGCTGATTGATAATCAATAAATGTTTCGTGCTGGCAGTCAGAAAGATAGAAAAGGCATCCAATAAAATAAGTATAAAAAAATATATTGTATTCGTGCCGAGATGCCGATTGGAAACGACACGCGAAAAGGGGGAATTCAAGCGTCCTCGCCAAACATTTTCGCGAGGTGGAAGCACTCATTCATATCTATCTAAAAAAAATCAATAAAAACTGCTCGCCTCGCTGTGGAATATTTACCAAAATTACTCGCAAACGGCGGCAGCCCCGCGACCTCCTCGATTTTCAGCGGCTTCCCGTCATTTATCCGCTCCTTTTCCGGCGAGCAGATTTTCACTTCGGGCAACTTGTTAATTTTCTGCTTGCTGGTGCCAAAGATCTGCTGGATATTCACGTCAGGCTTGAGGCCATTGCTTCGATTGACGGTGATGGCGTGGTCGCTGGCAGACGCAACGATCTTCGACTTGAGCTCCTTCTTGGCCAGCAGGGCCAAATTGCCGCTCGGCGACGGAACGATTTTGCATGTGGGCTCCTCTACAGGGGTCGAAGACTCGCTCTTGCCCCGAAAAGAGGCCCTGATCTCGGTCGCCTTGAAGGACGAGCGACCTGGAGCACCTCTGGAAGGTGCCGTGTGCGACTTTCTTGTTGAAGTCCAGCTGTCCAGTTGCGGCCCGTACGGCCCCAGCGTCCGCACTGCGTCCACGGGCACTCGACCACTCGGACTGTGCGACAGACCTGTGCGGACAAACAACGGTTTTCTCTCTAATTGTTCGAAGGGGCCAATCTCGGCGGAATATAGCGGTGATTTGCATTTCTTCAATTATGGCGCGGGCAGGAAGCAATTAGGGGGGCAAGTGAGTGTGAATAAAATTAATCATTGCAGGGGTCACGGCGAGTGAATACCAAATAATGCACTGTCGCCGCGACTGTAAATTTATTTATGGCCGGGTGGCCGAAAGAAAAAAAAATAGTGTGGGACCGTGTTTTACTACTCTTTGGTGCATAAAAATAGGGCAGACCGCTGGTTTCGGTCGAATTTGGCTTTTACTCGGTTCTTTGATCATCGCTGCCCTTGGGTGTTGCTGGTGCTTTTTTTTTTGTTCTGTTTGGTGCTGGGGTGAATATTCATGAGCTTGTGTTTTGTATTTTGCAAGTAATGCATCCTTCATTACCATAAGAAGAGTGTATACGATTTAAAACAGAGTCGTCAAAAGGCTTCTCAAGGAGAGAGAGAAAACGCGAACGCAAGTGAGGAAATGAAAATTTATGCCAAAACAGAGACTAACAATGGATTATACAATGTTTATGGCTCTGTTTTCTCACATACTTTAGCCTAGATTTTTGGGCAGCAAAGCGTATAAAATACAAGAATTAGAAGCCTTTTCATAACAACAACATTACATAAGAAAGAATTTTGATTGAATAGAAAAAAAAATCTAAAAACCCACGAACTTTACTTTACACAAAAGCTCAACCGAAAGTTAGAAACAACTTTATCAAAAAAGCCCAGCATCGGCAGCATCCAATCTCGGGATGAAATTAATCCTCGCGGCAGCTCATTCACAACATAAAGGTTTCTATTGTTGAGCGCCTAAAATTCAAGGGTGTGACTAATGATGCAGAGCGATGCACTCTCTCTACCGCAGCAGCGAAAGACCAAAGTCTCGATTTCAGGCCAAAATGAAGAAATGCAAAGTCACTGCCTCGGGGTGGCCAGTCGTGAAAGTACAAAAAAAAATACCGTGCTTGTGGCTGTGTTGGTTGCCCATCGCATGTGAAAAGTGGCCGCCTTAGAGCAAAATCGTCATGCTCTGAGGAGCTCCGATTGCGAGGAGGGCCGCTGCAGTTGCAGAGCGGAAGTCGGCGGCTTCTTAGCGCGATTCTACCCTCTCCTGATGAGCACAAAAACACGAAACACTGTCTGCTTGACGCCACTCAAAAAACACACTTCCAAAGCGCCGCCAAAAAGTATTTAATCCCGGCTGCTGTGTTTCAAACACATGCCAAGACAAAAAATTTAAATGTATTGGAAGTTAAAAAAGAATTGAGTTCAAAATTTATCCCGAGTGTGAATTAAAAAGAAAGAAAACTGGGAAGCACGAATGCTGTCAGTGTCACTTCTTGTTTTGAGCTGTCACTGAGTAATAAAAAAGGCACCGGACAGACTGAGCCTTGGACTCAGTGAGAGACGTACTGCTTGTGGACTACCACATGCCTCAACAGTCACACCGCGGTTGCCTAGCATCAGGAGGAGGAGCACCGCGGGTTCGCCGCTCGAGGCCAGAGGGAGCAGCCGCTCGAGTTGGAGCTTCCAGTTTTCAACATGCTCGGCAGATGGCTTATTTTGCTTTGCCTTTTGGCGCTTTTTTGTTGTAGCGGTAAAATGTTTCTCATTTCTCATTATGTCATGGACTAAAATGCAAAATGGGTAGCGGTAAAATTTTTTCAAAACGAGGACAGCAGTTTTTACTTTCTTTCGGTCACCTCACTTGAGATGAGATGCTTCTAAGACTGGTCCAGTCGGCTTAAATACCCAAAAAGGAACTTAATAGGCCTGGTTTCTTTGTCGAGGACATACACCAGGATTTCATTAAAAAGCTCAACCTCAATGTTCAAGTGCCCAAATATATTGGAGGTTTAATTTTTATGTGAGCTGTGTTATTAGAAGGTATAAGTATAATAATAATACTATAAGGAATATTGGGATATTTAATTAAAATTATGAAATACACAAATATATCCATCCCTAAAACACCCTGCCTTCCTTTTATTTTGCGTGTGACTTTATCATCATTTCACTCGAGTGCCGTGTGTAACTGCGAGAGCAGCAAGCAGAGAAAGAGAAGAAAGAAAAGCGGAGTGTGTGTGCCGGTGAGCGCCTGCATTTATGCAACCAGCTTCACTTCCAGAGCAGCACGACACACACACCTCCCACCTCTCAATCAGCAATACACCCAGCTGATAACAGCAGCATAGGTGCCAAGAGCAAAGGCCATTGGCCTCGTGCGGTTTTCGTGTCAGTCGCCTTGCAGACGTCAAGTCTCAAAAGTCGGCGCCGCTCGAGGAGCGAGCGACCGAAATCCTCTCGTCAATTGGAGGTTCCAAATGAATTGTTGGAGTTTCTAACGCGCCCTGCGGGGCCGTTCGATCACCATCAACTGGTCCGGCAACGCAGAGCCGTCCCGGCGTAATTGGGAGCGAAGTGCACGTCGTCCATTGCGTGACTTCTCGCTGCTCATCGGAGTCCGTCACCCTGACTCCCGAGGTCATTCCGCTGCACCCTGTGCAACCCCAGCCTGACTGCAAGCCAGCGCAGTTCAGCTCTCTGCAAGATTTCTGCTCGTCTCTTCACATCATTTAAAGCAAGTACAAAACCCCGAATCGAGTGCAAGAAATCGAACTTGTAATATTCGAGTGATTTTCTCCGAGTGCATTCAGCCATTATTTTCAAATAATATGTAAATCAATTATTTTCCTACCCATCCTAATTCCTACCTACACAAACAATGCAAATTTATAATATTCATGATTTGAATTAATTTACCAATTTTCCATTATTCTCTAATTAAATAATTTTGAATTGAATTTTTATCAAATAAAATCTTTTCCTTAATTCATTTCAAACTGCCGATTTTGATTTGTTTTTCATCTTGGAAAGATCTGAAATTAGTTTTTGAAGTTGTCTGAGTTAATTAAGTTGAGGAAATTAAGCCGAACCTGCGATTAATAGGATTTGATCTAACCCTGACATAGAGTCTAACAAGTCGTTGTTATATGGCGCCCAACTCACTTAATCCCAATTTAATTTGACAAATTAAAGTAAAATTTGTGATCCAGCGAGATCTAGAATATTCTATTCTGTGCTTTGTCTCCGAAAGTTTAGAATTCCAGGGAAATTTACCAAATTTTAGTAGTGCATTTTTGAGTCGGAATTCGCGAGCGTAATTTTTGGCATTCCGCGTGAGCAATTTTGCAGAGTAATTTTTGTCAGAAATTCTTGACATCTGTCAGAAAAACAAGGTTGGCCTCTCGTAAATAGTTTACATTTTGATCGTGTGTAAAAATTCTTTTGTAGAGTAAGACACATTTGTTGTTTGTTTCCGAGTAAACACGATTTTAGAGTCAGAGATTTAAAGATGGATTTGAACATAAATTCTCATGACATGTTTTTGGTGCCCATGCAATTTGATGTTGCGTCTGGCACCGCGATACCAAGTAGATTACCCCCGATTTGTGTCAATTCACGCGTCATGGCTAAGACAATTCCCGTTTCGGAGTGGAATTTGAAGTATGACGGCGATGAACAAAAACTTTCACTTTCTCTTTTCTTGCGAGAAGTAGAGTTAAATTTTGATTCAAGTAACCTGAGTGAAATTGATTTTTGGAACTCAGCAGTTAACCTTTTTGATGGCCCAATTAGAACATGGTTCTTGGCAAACAGACATAAATGGTCGAAATGGTCCGAGTTAGTCCCAGATCTGAAACTAAATTTCCGCCCGGCAAATTATGAGAGCAAATTGTGGGAGCAGTTGCGATCACGTTCTCAGGGTCCCAAAGAGCGAGTGAATATTTATATTGCCAACATGCAATTTATGTTCAGTTTGCTCGATGTGCAGCCCAGTGAGCGAGACAAATTTCTGTTTCTCAGAGCTCGTTTGCACCCAATTTGGCTGTCAAATTTACCGTGGTCGAGTATCGATTCAATCGAGTCGCTGATTAACGAGTCGCTAAAATTAGAGAGCATATTTGATTTGATTCATAGCTATCGCGATCCCGTCCCTCCAGACGATCCCGTTGAGCCAGGTCTAGTTTATAAAAATGATAATCAGTCAGAAATTTTGGATTTGCATGAAAATGGTAGCGAGAGGAGCGCACCAGCGCGTGAGCCAAATGAGCCGCACGGCCCTCCGCCGACGCTTATTTGTGATCCGCACTTGGATGCACACACTGTCGTTAGCGATTTTCCAGACGCCAAAAATTCTCATCATTCCCCTGATCAATGCGAGAATTGCGGAAGTGCGAAAATTGACCCAGCTATTTTAGCGCGTACTTGTTGGAATTGCCGTCGTGTCGGACATCATTATCGGCAATGCACTGTGCGAGTATGCAATACGTTTTGCATCGGCTGCGGCACGCAAGGCGTTTCAAATGTAGATTGCAAAAATGAGAGTTGCCGTCGCAGAGGACGAAAATCTCATTGCTTTGCTCGCGTTCATTTGATTAACACGGCGAGACAAAAATGTTCACGTTCAGGCAGCGATTGGAAACGACACGTGAATAAGATTAGGACCGATGTAATTAGACGCAAACTTGGTGGCATTTTGCTCAAATATAAGCACGAAAATACAAAATCAAAAAGCGCAAGAGAAAAATCAGAGTCTTTAGAAAATCAAAAAGCGATCTCAGATGACGATCGGATTTTTCTTGAAGTAAAAATATTTGATATTTCTTCTGTTGCACTTTTGGATTCAGGTGCATCTGCTTGTGTTTTAGGTGGTCCAGGCAAGCGTTTAATTGACAAATTGAGATTAAAATTGCAAAAATCGAATATTGCCAATGTTGAATTAGCAGATAATTCCAAAAAACCAGTAATTGGAGAAATTGATTTGCCAATTTGTATTGAAGGACAAACTTTTGTAGTAAATTGTTTAGTAGTGCCCGCGGTAGAGCAGAGTTTAATTCTTGGATTAAATTTTTGGTTAAAAACCGGATTTGTTCCCGATGTTTCACGGGGTGAATGGTTCTTTTCCTCTGATGTGGCGCATGAGATTCCGAAAATTTATTCTCTGACGGCGGATGGTGACAAACTTAGCGCGGAGGAGAAAGAAATTCTCGCGAAAACGATCGCCGAGGTTAAGAGCAATTTTCCCAAAGGCTTAGGTCGCACAAATGTAATGGAGCATAAAATTGATACTGGCGATGCAAAACCAGTGAAAACCAAACAGTTTTATATTCAACCTGCTCAATTAAAAATAATGCACGCAGAGCTTGACAAAATGTTAGAGTTAGATGTAATTGAACCGTGCATAAGTCCTTGGTCGAGTCCAGTATTTCTCGTTAATGGCGAAAGTAAAGGTAAAGAGCCGCGATTTGTTGTGGACATGCGTGAAGTAAATAAAGTAACAGTGAGCGACGCGTATGCAGTCCCAATTTTGACAAGCATTTTGGATGGATTAGGTGATGTAAAATTTTTGAGTTCAATTGATTTGAAAAAATCATATTGGCAAATTCCATTAGATTCTGAGAGTAGATTAAAAACAGCATTTTTCATACCTGAAAGAGGTCAGTTTTGTTTCAAAGTAATTCCTTTTGGAGCTAAAAATTCAGGTCCAGGTTTCATGCGAGCAATTGATTTTGTAGTTGCGAAATCTTGGATTAGAAAGTACATAAGGATTTATATTGATGATTGTTTTGTTGCAACCCCAACTTTCAAATTACACATTAAGGTGTTAATTGAATTATTTCGTTTACTCAAAGAAGCCAATTTAACTCCAAATTGGGAGAAATGTAGATTTCTTAGAAAATCAATTAAAATTTTAGGCTACGTGCTTGATGAATTTGGTTTGCACACCGATCCAGACAAAACCGCTTCAATTTTGAATCTTCCTCGTCCCAAAAATTGTACGGAAATCAAAAGATTTTACGGCGCACTTTCGTATTACCGCAGATTGATCCCAAATTTCAGTGTTTTAGCTGAACCCCTCTTGCGACTTCTCAAAAAGAAAATTCCCTTTGCGTGGAATGAGGAGCAAGACGACGCGTTCGTCAAGCTGAAACAGGCCGCTGTTTCAGACACAGTCGTGAAACTGCCAGATTTCAACCGTCCATTTTATTTGCACACTGATGCATCTGATGTTGGAATTTCAGGAGTTTTGACTCAAGTTTTCGATGACGGTGAACACCCAATTTTTTACGTCAGTCGTTTATTAAATGATTCCGAGAGAAATTATATAACAATCCAAAAGGAAGCCCTTGCGATAGTTTGGTCCATTGAGCGATTAGCAGGATATTTAAGTTATAACAAATTTTTTGTTGTTACTGATAATAAGCCTCTAAAATATTTGCAAGACCATAAAAATCCCAAAGGTAGACTTGCGAATTGGAAGTATAAATTACAGGAATTTGATTTTGAAATAATTCACCGCCCTGGCAGATTAAATGTTGTTCCCGATATTTTATCTCGTTCTTTCAATTGTAGTATTAAAGTTTCAGCAATGACTTTGAATACCCCAATTCGTGACACATGGTATTTGAGCATGATAACGCGCGTGAAGGAAAATCCAGCACAATTTCCACTTTTCAAATTAGTTGATAATAAATTGTATAAATTGAGTAAAAGTTGGAATCCCTTAGATGAAGCCGAATTTAAATTAGTTGTCCCTAAGTGCTCGAGATTAAAGGTTTTTGAAGCAATGCACAATGCCCCTCAATCAGGACATTTTGGATTTTACAAAACTTTCAATCGAATTTCAGAACAATTTTATTGGCCCAGAATGCGCGCAGATATTAGTAAATTTGTTTCCCATTGTAAAACGTGTCTAGCACAAAAACCAGTTCAAGCAGCTCCTGCTGGATTAATGAATTCACATCCCGTAAATTCACCTTGGCAAGTTGTGTGCTCAGATATTGTGGGCGAATTTCCGCGTAGCAAAAATGGTCACAAATATGTTCTTTGTTTAGTAGATTTGTTTACAAAATTTTCCATTTTGATTCCCCTGAAAGACGCAAAAGCAAATGCAATTTGCAATTCAATTGAGAAAGTAATTTTTTCGTATGGAGCACCACAATTAATGATTCAGGATAATGCTAAAAATTATTGTAGCAATCAATTTAAAGATTTAGCCAGAAAGTATGATTTTAAACTTCAATTCACACCTCGTTATCACGCACAAGCAAATCCAACCGAACGAGTAAATAGAGTTTTCGAAACTGTCATGAGATGTTTCATTCAAGATGATCATAGAGAGTGGGACAAATTTTTACCCCACATAGCTTTTGCCATGAATAGTAGCCGACATGAAACTACCACTTTTTCACCCTATTTTTTGTTTATGGGCAGACAGCCAAGTTTTTCAGGTTCAAACGCAATTTCGTCCGAGTCAAATTTTGACGACCCAAATCAAGTTAAAAATTATGCAAATCGTTTTCCGAAATTGAAAAAGATCTATGATTTAGTTAAGCAAAAAATTGCAGACGCTAATCAGAGGAATAAGCATTATTATGACTTGCGTAGACGACCTGGTGATTTTAAATTAGGCGATAAAGTGATGAAAAAGAATTTTGCAATTTCAAATAAAGGCTCAGGCATATCAGCTAAGTTATTACCCTATTTTGTAGGTCCGTTCATTTTGAAAGAGCAAATCGCAGAAAATATTTTTCGATTGGCAGATGAAATTGATGAAAAGAAGGATATAGGAATTTTTCACGTCAAAGACCTCAAAAGGTGTCCAGCACAAAAATAATTTTCCTTCGTAAAATTATTTTAGTGGCGCGGGGAGATATAAGGAATATTGGGATATTTAATTAAAATTATGAAATACACAAATATATCCATCCCTAAAACACCCTGCCTTCCTTTTATTTTGCGTGTGACTTTATCATCATTTCACTCGAGTGCCGTGTGTAACTGCGAGAGCAGCAAGCAGAGAAAGAGAAGAAAGAAAAGCGGAGTGTGTGTGCCGGTGAGCGCCTGCATTTATGCAACCAGCTTCACTTCCAGAGCAGCACGACACACACACCTCCCACCTCTCAATCAGCAATACACCCAGCTGATAACAGCAGCATAGGTGCCAAGAGCAAAGGCCATTGGCCTCGTGCGGTTTTCGTGTCAGTCGCCTTGCAGACGTCAAGTCTCAAAAGTCGGCGCCGCTCGAGGAGCGAGCGACCGAAATCCTCTCGTCAATTGGAGGTTCCAAATGAATTGTTGGAGTTTCTAACGCGCCCTGCGGGGCCGTTCGATCACCATCAACTGGTCCGGCAACGCAGAGCCGTCCCGGCGTAATTGGGAGCGAAGTGCACGTCGTCCATTGCGTGACTTCTCGCTGCTCATCGGAGTCCGTCACCCTGACTCCCGAGGTCATTCCGCTGCACCCTGTGCAACCCCAGCCTGACTGCAAGCCAGCGCAGTTCAGCTCTCTGCAAGATTTCTGCTCGTCTCTTCACATCATTTAAAGCAAGTACAAAACCCCGAATCGAGTGCAAGAAATCGAACTTGTAATATTCGAGTGATTTTCTCCGAGTGCATTCAGCCATTATTTTCAAATAATATGTAAATCAATTATTTTCCTACCCATCCTAATTCCTACCTACACAAACAATGCAAATTTATAATATTCATGATTTGAATTAATTTACCAATTTTCCATTATTCTCTAATTAAATAATTTTGAATTGAATTTTTATCAAATAAAATCTTTTCCTTAATTCATTTCAAACTGCCGATTTTGATTTGTTTTTCATCTTGGAAAGATCTGAAATTAGTTTTTGAAGTTGTCTGAGTTAATTAAGTTGAGGAAATTAAGCCGAACCTGCGATTAATAGGATTTGATCTAACCCTGACATAGAGTCTAACAAGTCGTTGTTATAATACATTTCAACCGCCGACGTGCAATAAAACAATAATAATTATTGCACTGAGGGAACGGGTGGGATCTGTTCAATTTTCCACAACAGTGTAATAATATGAGGTTGTTAACAAGAAAGGCAAAAAGTTACTCACCATTTACACCTAATAAAGAATCCTCCGAAAAGGCTGACTGAAGACTTGAACTGGAGATAGCACCGGTCATCTTGAGGTCCGTAGTTGGGTGCTGATTATTTTCAACAGGTGATTTTTGTTCTTGCACATGTGCCCTTGAGCCCTGTAAACAATAATTCAATTAAAACTTATTTCAAGAGAACTGAATTTCATAACATTTGGTGGCGAAGCGGCAAAAATGAAGCCAAGCGGAATATTTTGTCCATCATGCAAAACAGCTATCGTGGTCATTAAGATTATAAAATTAATTGCTGTTTTCAAAATTATCATTGACAAAAAGTCCCTTAGGTTGGTAAATTAATTTCGCTCAAATTTTACTTTCTTTTTCTTCTTGCATAAGGTTTGCGGAAATCTGCATTACATTGAAGTTAACAGTGCAAAGCACGCTTATTTATTAATAAAGGAAGCCAGCAGTGCAATTCTTAAGATGGTCATTGAGCAAGATTATTATACAGCAAATTGCAATTTTCTATATTAAAAGCTTCTGTTACATGGTAGTAACAATGGCGTGGCTAACAAGCTTCCCGCTGTCATTTTACCACCGTGACAATTCTTAATGTAAATAAAATTACTCACTTGCTTCAATGTGATGTTAGTGCTAATTATGTCACCAGGTTCCTTAATGAATAACTCATTGTGTGGTTGAGGCACCGGGAGGTCTCTTGCGTCTGGCACCCTGACCACTTGGTAAATTGCAGAATGTGTGGTTAGTCAAGGAAAGTTGGAACAAGTCGATAAAAATTTTCACTCATAAACAGTCCAAGTAGTGCTCAAGAAGATGCTACGAAAACTAATATCACCTGCACAGTAGTGATCATTATTTACTGTGCTGTTAGCCAAGCGTGACTCAGCGGGGAAAGCGGAGCGTTCACCTTTACAGTGCAAGAAAAACATGTCTCAAAAAATTTGCACGTTCTTGGAAGTCTATCTTAAGTTGAGATGTTTGACACAGAATGTTCCGTAAAAATAAACTCTTGAAAAGTTCACCAACATAAATTAATTTTAGGACCATTACAACACCAAAGGAGTGTTACAAGTTTTATTTCATTTCTCCGTCATAGTCAAGTTGTTTATGATGTTCATGATTTAATCAAAATCGTCACTTTTTTTAAAATTCAAATGACAGAGAAACTCATTGAAATGAAGAGGAAGTAGATAATTAACATGCAATTAATTTAAATGAGTGCTTTCTCTTGAAGTAAAAAATTCAAACAAGAGGCGGAAAGAAAACAATCCAATTTGTAAATAATACACAAAGAACGCTTGCTTTGAAAAACGTGTACAGACTTGCTTTCATTTTTAATTAGTTTTGAAAAGCGAGCACAAGACGTAATTTGATAATGAAGCAGTAGTTGTTGTTTGAGTGAAAAGGATATCGAAGCCAAACCGAAGTACGTCCATGCTCTCCAGCTGAATGTACGTCTGCACCGGAATACGAGCCTCGTTCACGAACGTCTGCAATACACCAGCATTAATGAGTCACTGTCATTCAAACACAAGCCATTCGAGGTGTCTGAGAATCCACAACAACTCGGACCACGCGAGAGGGGGCCCGATAGGCGGACCAGCCGGGCGGCATGCGCTCGCCACAAAGAGCCACGAACGGGGTTTTTGCACTTTCGGAATTTCTCAACAATAGATTCATGCTCGGCGGCTTTTGCAGAGGCTGCTCGATTGTGGAAGAGCGCACCGGTGATTAGCAAAAGCCGCAGGAGCATCACTCTGTGCTGCATTTTGCAATTAAATTTGAGGGAAGTGCACACTGGAAGGAAGAGACTTCAACGCGGTAATTCACGATAATTATATTTCGTCCAATTTTTCGGGCCCTTGAACTTGATGAAAAGATTTGCCTCAGGAAAAAAACCACTGGCAGGTGTTCTTACAATGGATTTGATTAAATTTATTGTTGTAGGTTGAAATGGTATGATAATTAGAATTTAGAACCCTAGGCCGAATATAGCACGAGATCTTTCAAAGAGATCTACGTGTTGTTAATCCAGCAGTTAAAAAAAACTGTGTAGGTTTTATGAATCCGTTATAGATTGGAATGTTAAAAAAGATGTATTATTTCGAAAAGAAAAAAAGTTGGAAAGAAATTAAAAAAAAGATACTTAAGATAAAAAACAAATTCATTTTAAAATCAAAAAGTTATTACTGAAAAAAATATATAAAAAAATGACCTTTTTTCCAAAAATTATAAATTTTCAAATCCATAATTTTTTGAAATGAACAAAATTTGAATTAATTTATAATAGATGCGACGTTGCACAAAATTTTGAAACAATCGGTCTTGAAAATTGCTGCACGCAAACGTAAAAAAAAATGATCAACTCACCCCGTTAGCACTGTTGAGATCCTTAACTTTGAACTTTTTGTCGCAGTAGTCGTACATGATCACCGCATGCCTCTTGTCCACACTCTTGGCCTGACCACACACAGAACATCCACGATTAAACCACAATTAAAAAGAATACAAAAGACTTGTGATTTGAGCAAAAAGGAGAGAAACTCGAGAGGAGTTGTTTACACTTGGCGAGGCTGCGCGAGACTGCTGGCTGACCGTCTGACGGTCACCCAACTAGACCGTCACGCAACTAGAGCTTAATCCAGGCCACGGAACGGCCTGCTGATGTTGTCGCAGATATTTATCCTAGGCGGCCTCACGTGTGCTCGCTGCAATTAACTAGCCAGCTGCTTCTTATCCACCCGAGTGAGCCAAAATCTCCGATCGCTTTGTACGGATTCTTTGGGGGGAAGGAAAAGTTAGAAAGCGCCTCCTCAACGCTTTTTATTTAATTTTAGCACCGCACGAGCACCAAACTTTTAAGTAAATATACGAAGACTTTGAGGGGCGGAATGTGTGTTTTCTTTTGAAAATCCTCCCAGCCGTTGAAAGATCACTTTGTTTTTCATTTAGACAAAACAAACGCAGGGGGTAATGGCTCCAATAATTAGATAGGAAGTGAGAGACGGGTTTAGAGGGGATTTTAAGACAAACACGCAATGTCACTTTCATTGTCTCTCGTTCATAGCGTTACTTTAAATAAATTGAAAAAAATTATCCTGAAAAATTTGCCTGGCACACGAGAAAAAAATTTAAATGAAATGTTCATAACAAACTTTATGTCATAACTAAATGCAGCTAAAATGACCTATTACAATGACTTTTTTTTCCTTTCTTTTAACTAATTATATTTAGAACTATAGAACTATACAAATATGTAGCGTCTGGAGCTTTAAAAAATTAGTTTAGAATATATTTTAAGTAAATAATAATTTTGTAAATACAATATTGCAATTAATTGAAACAAGATTTAACAATTTGTGTCTTCATACCATCGCAGATGCAAACACTGCAATGAGCAAAGTAAAGGAAATAAAGTTGATGTAATTGAGATCAGCTTTTGTATTACGTAAATTAAATATGCACCGTCCAGACATCAGGGTAAGCAGTCCAAGTTGTTTCCAGACTGAGAAAGCGAAATCTGATATTTTCTCAACAAACACACGCAAAACAAATAAACAAAGAAAAACGCAAGTTCCTCACCTTCACAAGAACATCACAATCTGCGCTTCCCACAAAGATCATGGCCTCGGGAAGTCGGAAGGTGCCATCCGCAGACAGCAGCTGCCAGAAGACACCCCCGGGTTTGGGCGAATCGCACCCCGGCGGTCTCTCCGACTCCGCCATGCCCTGCGAACAAAATCAGCAGCGAATTTTCATTAGACTGACGATGGAGTGAGAAAATTGGGAGCATCAGACAAACATATTGATTAGGGTGGAGTCGGCCGGTGTGTAAAGTTTATACGCGGCAGTGCAAACAAGTGCCTTCTAGTCGATTTTCTTGTCTCGGTCAGCAACATTACGTGCTAATCAAGTTATGGCCCAGGGAAATTGCACGGCAAATAAATCAATCAATGTCTGACAGCGCGAGGGAGCACTGACTTGCATGCACAATCAGAGTGTTTTGAATTTAACAATTCATTTTTTTCCCTCACATATTTATAATATTTGATATAAATTTAGATTACGTCACATGCTGTACATTTAGATGTTCCACTTTGCTTTCAATAATTATAATTTTATAGTAAACAATTTACATTATTTACATAAAATATATTTCTCATCCCAACTTTGAAATTTCATATTATATAATTTTTTTTATATCGATTAAATCATATATATAAGTGAAGGCCAAATTTTATTTTTGCATGCGACCAAACGATTTGAAAAATTTCCGGCTAGTTATTTTTATGCATCTCCCAGGGACGACTTTTGCTATTTTTGTCCTTGCCATTACCATAAACGCCTTGACCGTGTTGTAGCCATTTCTCCTTATCTGCCACTCAAATGCAAACAAACGCTGATGTGAGCAAATCGTTTCCAAAAATATCTCCCGCCTCATTATCTTTTGGAAACGCAGCTCACGAACAATACGCTTTGTTGGCTTTATCGGGGTGTACACTTTGTGCAGATATTTCGTACTCTGCCACGGCCGCGGGCTGAATTTTAATAGACATCTACTGCGTGTGGAGTCGGCTCGCTCCGCAATCACGACACCCACCGAGCCTTCGCCGCCGCATGCGATCTGCTCGCTTGAAAGCCAAAAGGCGAAAAAACCCAGAAAAAATGGTGGATTGTCGACCCGATAAATATAGGACATCTGCACTACAAATTTGCTGCTTGGTTTGGGGACATGACACTTTGCTTGAGTGAGCAGATGTTAAAATAAATTTTAATAGGAAAGTGTATACAAAATTTGTATTATTCTCATTCAAAAATTATTCAAAATTAATTATTATTGTTGAAACCTGAAATCATATAAATATCAAAAAATAAATAATATATCAATTTAAATGACTTTGCAGTTTCAAAGAAAAAAAACTTTTTTTATCCACAGAAACTGTTCAAAGTTTCATTAATTTAAACAAAAAACATAAATAAAAACCTGATAAAAATTTATTGATCCTTCCATTTTTTTTTATCACGTTGGATAACTGAGAGGCACTGAGAGGATTGAAGTGCAAAAAATAAACAATCATCAAAATCGGAAATAATTTAATTTTAAAGCCATTTAAAGCTATGCATTTGTTTTATTTGAGCAAAGATTGTTTGTTCTCCACCCACAATTACATCAAACCGAATCTCAGGCATATAAAAAAGCCGCAGCCCAATATAAAAATTATTGGAATGAGTCACCAAAAGAAACAGTATACCCGCTTTGTGTGCGTCTTTCTCGTTTTACGTCGTATGTGTTGGGCGCAGCGTAAGTTATTCAGAGGGAGCCACGATAATATTAATACGCGAGTGTAGTGGTATCGAGGCCATACGCTCTTTTCTCTCTTGCGAGTCTTTTATCGAGAGACACCTGACATCAGCGCCTTCGAGCACCATCAACTCGATGATTTAATGCAGTCAGAGAGAGAAAGACGACGACGCTTCTTCTCACCAGGCAAAGGCTGCTGCACCTCCACTTGGCCTGAAATCGCTTCTCGGAAGCAAAAACGAATGAAATAAAAACCGCAGCAAAACAAAGCAGCACTAATTATTTCTTGTTTTGTGTTACAAAACCTGAATGTGACATAAATGAGGTCGCAACAATAATTTTGTTTATCATTTTAGTTAATATTGAATAATAAAAAAAGCATGACTCTGAATACGAATTTTTTATTAAATTTTTTAATTAAATAATATTCAACACTTGAAACAATTAAATTCATTGTCAGTGAATCTCCGTACGTTTAAATTGCTCCTTATCGTCAAGAGCTTTGTTGTTTGTTTCTTATTTTCATTTCCACTCTTTTATTCCCACCACTCAACTTTCTGTCAACCGTTTAAGCAGATCTCATCATCATTAATTACTTGGACGTGTTTTGCATAAAGATTCGCACCTCTGCTGTCGAAGGCCACGTGACCATTTAGAGCGGCTGCCGATTGAATGACGCCACAAAGAGATGCGTAAAAACTCCCCCGCGTGGGCTAAAGGTCAAAGTCATGGACGAGCGAGGCGGAAGTTTGAGTGGGTTTCGACGATTTCTTTCTCGTATATCAAAAACAAAACTAGCGCCTGGTGATGTGTCGGTCTGTCACAAACTCATTCGCTTTAATTAGTGCCCATTCTCATGAGAGTTCGTTTTAAATGGATATGAGGCCCGAAAGTGGCCACTTTATTAGGCAATAACAATTTGCTTCAGCTGCTCCTTAATTCACACAAGGAAAGTGATCCATGCCGAGCCTTCAGATTCATTGAGATGGATTTCAAGTGACTCTCATTAAGCAGAAAACATAAAAAATTTGAATAAAAACAATTTAATAATTCTGAATTCTTATACCAAGGATCACATTTCAGCAGAAGATCTATTATTAATTAAACCATGCATTTTTCTCGCTATTGATGGATCTGTTTAGAATTGATTACAATTCATTCATTTTCTCCAAACAATATTAATTAGAAATGATATAAAAATTGAGCCCAATAAACATATTTCTGAAACAAACAATTTAAAATCTTTAAAACAGTTTTCTTGCGAAGAAAGTTAAGTAAAAATGTGTCAAAAAATGTATTTCTTACTAAAATCTAAAAAGGGAACTATTGAAAGACGATAAAAATAAATTACTTAAAATCTAAAAAGAGCCCTGCAGCAAAGTTTATTTAGAGGTTAATAAATCTCTCTAAGTATTGATTGAATTAAAACAGAGTTTGTGGAAGTAGTAGGGTAAGAAAACGAACTACCACTTTGAACTTCCTGCGCAGCCAGACACGCAAAGCAGCCAAATAAGGATATGGGGAGCCAAAAGCTGAGCCCAGAGCCGATATAGGCAGCGTCTTATCTCAAAGAGTGTTTCAACAAATCACTGCCAAGAAGCTCACTCGACCTCATTGTCGCATGCGAATAGCGTCGGCCAAAAAATTCTGATTGTTTTCCTTTCAGAACGTGACTCTGCGCGAATCTTCTTCCTACTCTTATGAAGATATAAAGAGCGCGATATCTTTATTGGGAAATCGTGCGCGGACCAACAGCGGAGATCTCACGCAGTGAATTGGCCAACTGCGGGGCTGCAGAGAATTTGAAACAAAAGCGATTTTTGTCTCTCGGCCAATAAATTCAGATTGAATCTGCTTTGCTGAGAGCAGCAGGAGGCAGAAGAATTTGTGCATAAATAACTCTCCCGCGCACAGAAATCACCGTACCTGCCAGTGAAAGGAAAAAATGGGCTTGGGCGCGCGATGACATTTGCAGCAGCAAACGCAAAACCTGATTTCCATGCGGTGCGGTTTTTCTCCATTCATGGTGCGAATTATTTTTGACTCTTTTTCATGTCCGAGGTCAGGGAGACTTGGCGTGTAATTGAATTATGCCGAGAAAGGAATCGCATAATTGCTACTTTTCATAATGTGCTGTCAAGGTAGATCAGCTATCAGAATTAATTATATGCGTCATGTATGAAACTGTCGTGTCGCGCAGATAAGTCGCCCGCCGTTTTATCTGGATTGTTGAAGTAAATATTGTGCCTTTCAGTCACTTCAAGGACGTTATAATAATTTTAATTGGCTGCAAGTTTAAATTGTAATGTTTAAAATCACTTTTAATTTTTTATTTTATCGCAAATAAAAAATTGCAAGTAAAATTGATGCGATTAAAAAACCTAATAATTTTGATGGATAGTGCCGCACTAAAAATTATGTTATTTTATAGCTATTTATTTCAATGTGAAATATTAATAATATTATAATTAAATGTAAAAAAATTAATTCACCTTGATGCCTTCACTAACAATAAGGCGGATGGGGTCTTAATGATGTTTAAGAAAATTCCAAATTACTTATTCCCTCGCAATAATAGATTAAAGAAAAAAAATTATTTCTGGCTGATTTAAAAATTTTCAAGGAGAGTTTTCGTTTGTTCATTACAATCAAATTGTTTGTTTCGCCACCGACCTCTATCAAAAATTTTAACCAAACACTGATAAAGTACATTGTCATACTTTGTTGGCACATCCTCTCGTTTTCACAAATGGAAAGCGCCGTTCTCCTCTCTTCGCGCCTTTATTTTCCATTTCAACTAAGCAGATTGCAAGATTTCCCTTTTAGAACAAGAAAGCAAAGCGCACTCTGATCGATACGCGTAATTCGCGGTTCTCTTCACCCTTTATGCAAATTAGCACTTGAAGACAACTGTCGTCTCTTTACACGCTCAGTTAGTTGGTTTTGTAGGTGAGCAAGTCAGGTTTGTTTCTGGCTCACTGGTTGAGCGACCCACTCGTTAAATTGACCTCAGCACGCTGCTGTTAATTCGCACGCTGATTGGCAATCGGTTAAAAATTCATTATTTGATTTCGTCCTGAATTATAAACAAACACAGAGTGCGTCGGTTTGAAGCGGTATCTCTGCAATCTTTTCGAGACCATTTCTTGCTCCCCCATAGATGTGAAGGCAGCACCGCCTGGCACGAATTTCTGCCCGTGTGCATCACAGTGGATCACGCACGTTGAAATTCGATGAGATTTTACACGCTAGACGCAAATTTGCTCTCCCGCGGCTCTCAATTAAAGAACAATTGCGATCATAAATACAAGTAATAAAATGCCGCATTAAAAACTTAATGAGGAAATGAAACCTAAAAATTGATGCAGCTTTGATTAAATTTAGAATTTGACGGTGGTGGCTGCAGTGGCGATTTTGGCAAGGTGCAGCCGCTTTGTCGAAATCAAATGACGGGAATGGTTTTTGAAATAGCCGTCTATTTTCGGTTTCCGGGTTAACTGTGCCATAAAATTTATATTATAGCCTTGCAATATTCTGTTAAGGGAGTTCAATTTACTAAATTAGAATGGTTTTTATAGCAGCACCAAATTTTTATAACTGTTTATAACATATTTATTTTTCTTTAAAAATGAAAGTGGTTCTCAAAAAATGTATAATCATATAATATGAAAATTATGCAATTTCATTTAGATATTTCTAGTTTTATGAATGTGAGAATTAATTAAAAATAATTTTATTGCCATTTCCCAAAGTTTCAGCATACAGTTTTTTTTTAATAGATAAATTTACCTACAAAAATTAAATTCCTTTGGCTATTTTTAGACTAGATTACTGTACTTTCAATGACTTAGCACTCCTTTTTAAATCAATATATTATATTTTTTAAGCCATGCTGATTCAAAAGTAGTGAGAAATCTTTCAAGCAGAATATCATCAAAATCCGCCAAAGCGCTGCACCGTATGCGGTGCCCAAACTTTGGAAGAGTGCAGTTAGGCTAATTTATTCAAGCGTGCTGCGAGTCGGATTCGTTCACACGCTGCGTTAATTGATGCTTGCAAAGCATTCTGGCAACTCCATTACCGACAGATAAAAACAAAGCGACAAGACAAGCGCTCTCTGGAATGGAAATGAAGATAAAAGAAATCCTAGACCAGTTAGAAATGCTTGCATCTTATCCGCCGACTGGTTTCTCGAAACTGCACCTGGACAATCGATCGTTTACCGCAATTCGGCCGCGGTTGGCATAGCCGCCTTTGCTCTCGAGTTCCGCGGCGAGCACGCATTATTTCAAACCAGTGTCCAGTTTTTTACTTGAAATTCATCATGCAGTTGAGATTGAGAAGCTCTTACTTGAACGAGGATTGAAATACAGAGAGCTTAACGTGCATTATTCTGACTGGTCCCCAGTTGCAATTTCAATATTTACTTCATATATTAATTGCCTTATATTTTTTCTTGCTTTAGTATTCAATTTGACAATTTCCAACATTTTTTCGCCTAGTATTCCAGCCTTTTGTGATTTGAATTAATTTAAAATAAAAAAGTTGGACGAAAATTTCTGAAGCTATAATTTTTCATTTTTACATATTTTAAATTTACTTATTAAATTATAAAAACTACAAAAATTCGGGCTAGAAATTCTGATTAAAGGTTCTTTATTTCTATTTTCTTAAATTTAAATGAAATCATCAATTTCATTTTTATGTAACTCACGTCAAGAAGTTTAAATGTGTATTTGCACAGTATTCAAGCCTTTCTTCTGTTAAATTAATTATAAAAATAGGTGAAAAAAATCTGAAATTGTTAATTTTTACATGCAAAAATATAATAAATAACACCAAATAGGAAATTAATAATGAAACTTGATAAGAAAAATAACAATACATAACTCTTCAATTAAAAATGAAATTCTAAATCAAAAATAAAATATTCTCATATTTACTCCCAAGTTTCGCTTGCGACTAAAATGTCATAAATTTAATTAATCATGTTTTATAATTTAATCGGGAGACTTCATACACATTTTTATAAGACAAGAAAACAAAGCATTGGCTAAACATTTCATGGGTCTCGGCGTGCACGCGTTTAATGGGCCGCATGAGCAGAGCCGCGTAAAACAAAAGGCCGGGGAGCGCTGGACCATGCACAGGGTGGCACAGGTCGATGGCACCGAAGCCATAAAGGCAACCCCCGCACGCCCGGCGCCCCAGTCGCGATGCTGAGCGCCACCGCAGGCAGCCGCAGGGCGCGCTCCCTGCCCCCAGTCCTCATGAGCCAACACACGCCCCTCAGACCCGCGTCCAGGGCCTCCAGCAGACCCATCCTCGTCAGACCCAGTCCGACCAGGGGCAGGAAAACTCAAAGGTTTACAAACTCAATTTTCTTTTTTATTGTAAATATACTTTCATTTTTTATTATCATTTCCGTGAAACGTTTTATGATTTTATAATTCGCTTATGATTTTTGATCAGAAAGTGAGATGAAGCTATAATTGTCTTAAAATTATATATTGCTTGGTAATTTGAAAATTCAATTAATATTCCTTATTTTGTTGGTTTTTCTAATACAAGCAATATTGTTATTATCATTAGTTTTATATTATTTTAGAGTAATATTTATGTTTTAATTATTTATTATCCTGCATTATGGACATTTCCATTCATCGTCGAGTGTCAACTTCTTCAGACATATCCTGGATTGATCCCCATTAATTAGGGAAATGAAATGCAATTGTTCTGCCAAGACAAAGTTATAATATTCTCCTTATATTTTATTTATTTAATAAATAAGACTAAAATTATATACAACCTGTTTTATGTATTGAAATATAAATAAATTTTTTTAATTCTTTATTTCTTCAAAGTAGCGAATTTCCAGGATATTATTATTTTTTTTCATTGAACACAATTTCATTTTGAAAATAATATGAGTGAATGTGCAAAAAATCTCTTTAGTCATGCACTTTTGAAACTTTTTACCGGTGGTCCATCCTTTGAGCAGCAACTGCTTGCGTCTTTTCATTCAAGTTCTTTTATTCTTTAACAGACTCTTAATTTTGAAGCACCATAGAGACACAATTTCATTTTAATTTAAAGAGAAAAAGCTGCAGGCTCCAGCGGAGAAACTAAATTATAAAATCGCGTCTCTCTTACTCAGCATGATATTTTCCATTAGCTGGAATCGCTAATTTTCGGAGCAATCAGATCTGATTGTTCTTGAGATATGAGAAGAGTGCTGCGAATTAATTGCTCTCGCGCGGAGCCAGGAGTTCTCAACGTGGGAAGATCTTTATTGATTGTAGCAAAGGTTGCACGACACCACTCGTAAAAATAAGTGAAAATTTCCCTTTTTACGAGCAAAGTGTGCCGAGCAACAGACACAAACAATGAGAGGAATGAAATGTTGACTTTTATTTATTAATTTAATATAGCTGAATTAAACTGCTTCCATTATTCGCTTGAAGACGTGAACAAATTGAACTTTAAAAAGTGTGAGAGGGATTGAATTAATAATTATTATCAAAATTAAATTTGTTCAAATTTTATTCGCAGACACATTTTGCAATTTAATAAAATTATAAAGATCCATGTAGAATCACCAACCAACACACCTTTTATGGTACAATTAGTACATCTATCTCGCAACGGGAATTATGGGCTCACTACAAATAGATTTTAAAAATTAGAAGAGGATACATTTAGTAGGTATTTACAAGTAAATTTATTTATGCTTAATGCCTTTCTTTCTCTCTCTCAAAATTCAATTTTAAAATAAATTAATTAAAGCAAGTTAAAAAATTATTTATAAAAAAATTAAAATAATAAGAAATGTAAAAAATCTTATTTATATTTAAAATTATATTCATTGAAAATTTATAGTTCAAGTATAAAACAAAAATTGCATAAATACAATATAAATAAATTAATATATTGATATTCAAATTTCTACATTATGACCAAACTATGATTCAAATTATTGTGTTCAGATAATAGTTAATTCATTCTGTGTAATCGGTTAGATTAAAGAATGCACTACTCATGTCAAGTGGCAGTTTACGGCTCTTGCAGGTAATTATCAAAGACAAAAAAAGGCGTCGTCAGCTGCCTATGTACCCGTCGTTCACCTCAACCCTTTGTTCGCCACGTCGAGTTCACCACCCCGTTCCTAACGCAAGGCGAAAAAAATTTACACCCTCTCTCGTTGGGCGTGTCTCCGTTTCATAATTATTTTCGTCCCGCTAATTAATCCCTTGAAAAAATTCAGGCCGTTTGGCGACGGGCCATCGGCACTTTTGGGCCTGGCACACTTTTGCGGCTAATCAGCCGCAGCTTTTCCGGTGCTGATTCGATTTGGAAAGAAAAAGGTGTCCTTCGGCCGGGCCGAGTGACGCAAGAGCCGCCGCCGCACCTCAAATCGCGGGCAGATTGTTATTGTCAGGTGTGAATCCTTTGTTCTCCGCTTGAGTGGAGAATAAAACGCGGAATAAAGCCGCAGTGCGCACAGACAATGATTAATTGGCATGAATTACTCAAGCATTTTATAATTCCAACCAAAAATTTCAAAAATTGTAAATATTCGCACAAATTTTTCTCGCAAAAATGGGTAAAATTCTCTGCATTTTTTACATCTTAAAAACAACTTTTAGGCATAAAATTCGAATAAAATCAACGTGATTGAACGTAAAGAAAGCCTGAGGCTGGAATTTTCAGGGTTTCGATGTAAGATTGGATCAATTTTGTGGCCACCGTGGGGGGTGAATCATTTGTTGCTGCTTGCGAAATTTCGCAGCTGGAATTTCCGCGTAGCAGGGGTGTCAATTGGCCGTTCGAACAGTCCAGGACGTTCGTTTCAACTTTGGAAGGGTCGTGGGCGTGCAAAGGCACTCACCTGTGTCAGGAAGCAGGGTCCTTTAGTCCATGAAAAGTCGTCTCGACCACGCACGTCTCATCACAACATCAACACCAGACCCATTTTTGTTCCTTTCAATTTTCCCGTCACTGTGGTGCTTCACAATCTCTCCACGCGAGGCGCTCTTTTCAGTCCAGTCCGATTCGCAATACCGGTTAACCGGTTCTTTTCAATAAATAATTATAATTTTAATGTTTTTGATGAAATTTTGCTGTTTTATAAACTTAAATTCAGTTTTGAAACTCTCTGTATTAAAAATATTTTAAATATCTTAGTCTACACCAATTTAATCGGATTTTGCCTCAAAATAAACCGTTTTTCGGTTTATTTCTTAAAAAACCGGCTGTTTCTACCGCCAGGTGCAATTTTCCGGCGCGAACGCCGCCAACGCGAATTCCTTTGATCTGTTTAGAGTCTCTCGTTTTGCAGTTTTTTAGAAGTCATATATGAGAGGATGTTTTTGCCACACGAAGATGTTGATGTGGTGCACGTGGTACAGGTTTCTCACCGCTGTCTCTTGAGAGCAGTGAATGGAGGATTCAGAGGATTGATGTCTCAAAACAACGTCAAACGGCTGCAGTCCCCGCGACGACAGGTGCCTTTGTAAACAAAAACACCGCAGCACACATATAAGACTGTCAAAATGCACGAAAATATTTCCAGAAAGTGCGTTTTTCAGTGGCACAGGTAATTTATTTCGTTGTCTCCTTCGGGAATTTACTTCGAAGACAGGGAAAATTTATTATCATAATAATAATATGTTAGGTTGCGTGCCTTTTTTTTATTTTCGTGTCACGTGCAATAAGTTTTAAGAGTTAAAAAAGTTTAGCCTGAAATCTGAATATAGGTCAAAACAAAACTATATTAAAAATTATTACTAGACTTGTTTGTGGTGCCATGCCAACCGCGTGCATGGCCAAAAACAAAACTCCTTCATGGTTCTCTTTCTTATATTATCAGCATCTTTCATGATTATTACAACGCTACAACGCTGGTCGCTATACACATGGGAACATAAAAGAGATATCAGAAAATAGTTATAAATTTAAGTTTTATTTTATAACGTTTTGCTTTATAAATATTTAAGAAATTTAATAATCAGGGAAAGTACTAAAACTACTAAAAACAAAATATGATTATTATTTCAGAAAACTATTTGTCGTTTAATTGATTTCAACTAGCGTAATGTGCGAAAGAATAGTTAACAAGATTAAAATTTAAAAAAGACAATTTTCAAGGATCAAAACAATTTTTTTAAAGCATAATAAAATTAATGCTTAAAACAATGGATGTGTTTCCGCTGGCAATTACGGCAATTATATCATGATTTTCTTAAAAAAAAAAAATCAGCAATCCCTCCCTTGGATAATAATAATATATGCATATAAAACGGTCTGGACGTAGAGATCCTGGAATTTGGCTTTAAAAATAAGCATTTGACAGAATTCATCATGAAAAATTATTTCAAGTTCAGGATTAATCGACATTGTAACAATTGTTTAAATGAGGTCACAGAAAAAACATGCAATAATTACTTAAATTATAACTAACACTAATTCCTTGTAATTTCTTATCATTAATTGTTATCATCAATCTCTCAAATTGAATTACACACTTCATTAATATACTCTATCACTATTGACATGCTAGAAATAAACTAATAAATATTATATTCGGTAATGTTATCCAAGTCAGATGAAGTGTATTATCGTAGCAGACGTGGTGGCTTCTCGTTTTGACCAGAAACTGTGAAGGTTATAATAATTCCTAGTATGCCAGTAACACACAAGTCTACCTTGGACTTGAATTTATGTAAATAGTCAGGGATCATCTTATGCATGCTCGTATAAAATTTCACAATATTTTTCACTTTATGCAATTTTCTTGTTTTTAATCATCGTAAATTGACTCATAATGACGACGCGTGATTCAGATTTTTTGGAAATATTTTGCAAATATAAAAATTTAAACACCTCTTTCATGAAATGTTGCAGAAAGACCAATGGCCTTCAAAAAATGGAAAAGAAGCGCGGCCTGGATTACACAGACTTTGCTTATCGAGAGGCTGTTTCTCGTTTGCGTTACCTCATGGCGGAATCATATCATTCTCCCTACAGACATTATACTGCGGTAAGATAAAGTTCAATATTTTTTAAACTGCTGAATAATTTTCTGAATAAATTGATATTTTTAGTAATTTGCTTTTTTTTAAATATAATAATTTTACAGATTTATGGAGAGGAACAGCGGGATCCAGAGTCTATGCTTGAACGCACCAGATCTCTGCTCAGCCCTCACAGGCGACCACCTTACTACTCCTCGTTGCGCAGAGGCCTCTCCTTCAGGTCGCCGCCAAGGGTGAAAGTGGATTCGGCTGCTGAGGACAACAACACCACCGCACCGAATACCCCAAGGGCAGCTCCGATGAGCGAACAGCAGCAGACAAACCCACCGGGTACAAATTCCCTGCCGCCGGAAATGGTGTTTTACATTGACAAGCAGGAGGAATATATTGATCAGCTAGAAAAGGAATCCCAGTATTGCAGGGTAAGAATTTTCGGAAACAAATATAATGTTGAAATCGGTGGAAACTTTTGCATTTTGCTATACAAAAGGAGGAACTGGCGAATCTTATGGGGAAAATGAAAGAAGTAATGTCCGAGAACGAAAATCTCTACGACAGACAAAAATCTGGAATTATAAAATCTTTGTTTGATTGCATTCAGTCAGATCGTGAGGAAGAAGAGGACGAGGAAGGGGACACTGAGGCTTCAGAGGTAAATTTTTCTTTATTTTAATTATTATTTCAATATTCTTAAATATTTCATTATTTTATAAAAAAATTGTTTAAGCGAAATCGATTTAATAATATTCGTTAATACACTACATAATTGTTATTCTACAGCCCACACCACGGCGTAAGAAGGTGGAGAAAAAGTCAAGAATGGAGGGACCGAATATTGTTTTTGAATCACGCATCAGTGAACTTGAAGCTCAACTGACTCACCTGAAAATCGAATTAAAAAAATCTCAGGAAGAGGCGGCTATTTACAAAGCCCGTTTGGCCAATGAGGACTTTTCTGATAGGCCTAATATTGATTTGGAGCACCATCAACGCCAAATTGAAAATCTACGCCGGTAAAATTATTTTATATCCAACACATATTTTAAAAATATGAAATAATTTTTTATAATAATTTTACAGTGAGAAGGAAGAACTGGCAGAGACCGTTCAAAAGCTCCAAAAAACGTTATCTGATCTGAGAGATCGTGAATCCGATGCTAGTCACAAGCTGAAGCGCAGCAAGGAAGCTGCGGAACAGGCTCACTTTGACAAATCCCAGGTACAATCTGATCCAGTTTCTGATATGGTACTTTCTGCCACTGTTTAATAACTTCTAATTCATCCTCAACCGTGTGTTAAATTCTCATGCAGAGTGAAATGGAAGTGCGGCGCCTGAAGGACGAGCTGGATCGCTTGCATCTCAAATTAAGAGAGGCGATTGCCGAGCAGGGCAGAAGAGCGTCCGAAGAAAGGAGCGCCGTGGAGCGAAGGTGCCAGTCTCAGGTCGAACAGCTCCAGGCAGAGCTCTCCTCTCAGTGGGATACCACTAGCAGGTTGCAGCTTGAGGTTGAGAAGCTTCGTAGAGTTGACGCGGAACTTCGAAGAGAGTTAGCCAATAAAAATGCAACCTTAGATGACTTGGCCAAGGAAACGCAGTCCAAGATTGGTACTGTTATGGCTTTAGCTTAAAGCAAAATTTAAGATTTTGGAGCTGCACTTCTTAAAATCAACTCTTATTATATTATATACCACTCTATTGATAATTTATTTTAAATTCTGCTTCATACAATGAGCTTAGAAATCAAACAAAAAATTAAGCTAAAGCCACAGGCTACAGATGTGTTGCAGGGAGAATTGAGTTCGGCCCTTATGCAGCACACAAGTTTAAGTCAAGAGCTTGCCTCTGCCCAGTTGGCAGCTGAGAGAGCTGATAGGGAAGGGAAGCAGGACAGCAAGAGACTGGGCGCCGAAATTTTAGCTTTGAGGGAGAGACTTGAAAGGGCGGACGCGGAAACCTTGCGGGCGCGGCAAGAGGCCCTGAGGCTCTCAGAGCAGCTTGCCGCTCTCGATAGAGAGGTATGATGCCGCTTAACAATAATTCAGAGGCTATATTTTGATTTTTTTTTTAACTTTTTAAATCTGATACAAAAGATCGGCATCAAAATGTCTCTTTTTCGACTAAACAAATCGCGGGTGGGGTTTCAGATGACCCTTAACAAGACCAAAGATATTATCGCTGCTTCCCCCAACCCTCGGGATCAGGATTTTTCTAACATGATCTCCAACATGGAGACTAAACATGGTGAGTCCAAGCATGGCGTTTTTGCTTTTTTAAATTTTCCCCTTCCAAGAAACATATTTTTTTTTTTTAAATTTACGTGAGGAAGGTTTAAGTTCCGGTTATGCGAATTTTTTTCCAAGTCAATTTACTTAAATAAAAATTGATTGATGAGATTGTGTGTCAATCGGATTTCAGTTGAAACCGTGTCAGAACTAGAAGGCATGATTCAGTCACAAAACCAAGTGATGGCCAAACTGAAAGATGAGTGCCACAATCTCACACAAAGATTGGAAGAATCCTCCATGCGGCACAAGTAAGATAAGATTTTTGCTTTATCCTCTATTTTTCTTTTTCCAAAATTGCTTGGACTCTCTCATCATTTTTCTCACTATTAGTAGTTTAGCAAACTCTCTATTAGGTAAATATATAATATTCGTAAATTAAAAGTACGTCAAGTCTCCTCTTTCCTAACTGATTTCAGCTCTCTCAATATCTGCTCTTTAATATATTTGCTGTGTGTTGGGTTTCAATTCTTTGTGCAAAAATCTGTGGATCGTTTTATGGCCACTGTTTAGATCTCTCGTCATGTAGTATTTGGGCTGAAAATTTTCTAAGCCAGTACTTATAATAGGTCAGATGTTGCACCCGGGAAAAGGAGACAAGTTAAAGTTGATCTTGTAATCAAAGTGAAACGTAAACAGAAGGAGGTGAGTGCTCAGAAACGTTAAAATTATATATTTTTTTTGTCTGTGCGGCTTTTATGTCCAGCCATTTACCAAATACACAAAATTGCGCACTTTTACAGATTCCTTTTCAATCTTCTAAATCTGTCATTTAGAATAATTCCATGTCGCAAATCATTTAACAATTAAAAATTTTTAATTGGAAGCATGCATTGTAATTTGGGAAGTTAAATATTTCTGAGCACTCGTCCAGATAAATCCGATTTATGTCATGCTATCCTCTCCCATTGTCGGCTGGAGTCGCTCTATTTATATCATTATTAACCGCTCTTTATACTTTTGTGCATGCTATATTCCTGTTCTCTGTGTGTGTCCTATTTATAGTTCCTTCATTTATACACCCGCGCTGATTACAAAAATAAAATTCCCTACATAAAACATTAAATTTTGTTTCCATTGTGTAGTGATTTTTATCAATTTCAGATACACGCCGTTTATACCTCTTTCTTCCACTTCTTATCAATGTTGTGTATTTTAATACAAACTTATTATAACAGTACACTATTTTATATTTTGAGAATCACTTTCAATTAAAACTCTATGCAAAGCGTTATTTTCTTAAAAGGTGGTGGATACGAAAATTAAGAATAGAAACAATTTACAATTTTCTTAATAAATAAAACAGGGTTGAAAAAAACAATCTCCGCGACGAGTGTAACTGGCTGAGGCAGAGGTGTGAAATCTTGGCTGCGCAGTGCGAAAGGATCAGGACTTCAACGCCTGCAAATTTGCACGACCGACAGGTTTGCCCTTATAAAACAGCTTAATTCTGTCTTCACCCGCCCTCCCAATCGACTGAAATGCAACCCCATTTATAGAACTTTTTCAAAATTTTTTGCGACTAATGATTTCAGGCAGGAAATGGTTGGGCTACAAAGTAATATAAATTACCTCACAGAGAAGCTAGAGTCCTCCCTGGGGGCGCAGAAAGGTACAATTAATTGCTCGCCTAAGTGTCGTAAATAAATTTTAATTTTAAATTAAAAATTTTTTTAACAAATTTTCTTAATTTTACTCTAAATAACAGAATGTAAAATTATGGTCTTTTTTTAATAGGCACATACAATTTTTTTTTATTTATATAATTAGAACCTTTAAAGATTTTATCCAAGATAATTTTTTATACCGTTTTTTAGCTCACGTGTTTGGTTTTTAATCGTTTAATTCGGTGTTTAATAAATATTTATTATGATTTTATATACATTAAATTTATAACTCATTCTTTAACCACAAAACTCTCTGTGAGACACGCCTCTACCATATTTCTGCATGTTCCAAAGCTCAGTTATAATACTCACTCAGTTTGGTAAGTTTTAAAGTAGCCCCTTCAAGTTAATATAATTTTCGTTTAAATCAAAATTAAAAAACCTTTGTTTCATTAAAAACCTAATTTAATTTCCTCTAATGCCTTACTCATAAGCCAGTAATTTTGAATTTCATAAAAATAATTTATGTTTAATTTAATAAAACTTTTTTAAAATTTATCAGATTATAAATTTTAATTTATTTTTAAATCTTTAACACAGATTATGAGATCCCTTCTTACACCTCCCGAGCCAGCACCGAGCAACCAACTCCAATGGTCTCCAACTACGACCTGTCCCCTGCAGCTGTCGTTCAGCAGCTCCGAGAGGACTATGAGCCCTCTCGGGTCCTCAGCGGAAGCATCAGTGGTGACAGCTATTCATACCAGCCGACTGCAGCCGGAGGAAGCGGTCTTACTGAGGCTTTGTCAGGACGAGTGGAGGACCAGCTGGAGTCCAGTCCAGCCGTTTACGAGCAGCAGTACGAGGAGCCCCCTCGGCGCACCAGTTACGAGCCCCAGTACGAGCCTCCCGAGCCTGAGCAGTCAGCCATACAACCGGAGCCCCCTGAACGACCCCCCAACAAAACTCTGAGTCGTGGCCCTAGCTATGAAACGGTTCACGAGGCCCCCCGTTTAGTCAGCAGCAGGCCTCCTTCTGGGGGCTCAAGCAGGACTCCATCGTCGCCATCAGCAAGGGGTCGCGGGGTCAAACAACCATGACCCGGGGTGGGCACTGCAAGGACGCGTCAGGGCATTCGATAGCACCCGTGAAGTCTTTGTAGGCACAAACTGAGCAGCCACTGAACGGATTTGGCTTTTTGACGGTTTTTTGGGAGGGAAAATGATTTGTTTGGCAAACAGGAGGAAAGTAAAACAAATTCAAAAAAATATATTGAATATAATGTTGAGCAAGCAAAAATTTCATCTCAAATTTTTGAGAATTTTAATATGGAATTTTTATTGTAATTTTTTTTATAGATTTAAAAAATCATACTGCTGGTTGTCAGCTCATATAATTGGCACAAAATCAATGCACTTATTGCTAGTTGTTAACTCAGGTAGTTTAATAGGTGTACATTAAATTAGAAATTGCGTCTATTTGATTGAGAGAGGCAAAAATTACTCCTCATATTTGTTGCCATATTTTTACCAAAATTATCTTGGATCAAAAGATTTTCGAAAACAAAATTGTTTCAAATTTGAGTAAATAAACAAAAATATTTCATGAAATCTCTGCGCTGTAAGTTTGAGCCACACAAGTGAATAATACGATTTAAAATGATTTTATTGGCACGATTATCGCATTGAGAAGAAAGAATTGCGCATGTTATTCAGTCTGGTCTGGTATGTAATTCGAGCCAAGTTGAGCCTAATGAATAAATTATAAATTTGTAATACCAAATTGTGTATCACTCATTTTCCAACATCTCTTTGTGCAAACACAAAGCTAGTACGCACAGCTGCAGCCTTGTCACAATGGCAATCAATAATTTCGAGATGCGAGATGGTGGTTATGTGGTTCGGTCAGTCAAGCCAGGCTGTTCTCAGTCGTAACTCAAACAGTGAGGAGAGCGCATAGTGTTCGCATATCACTGGAGCTGTCAACTAATGGGTCTAAAACAGAGCTGGGCGGTTTTCCTTGTTGGTAAGATCATATTATTATTAGTTTACCAAGTGACTTTTAAAAAAATTATATATAATTTGATTTAATTGTGTGCGTAAAAATTCTACACATTCTAGTAATACTATTGGTTTAAATTTAAAAAAAAATCAAGTGCCAGCAATGGAACCGCCGCATAAGAAATTTATTTATCGGCTTTTTTTGGTTTTCAATTAATATTATTGAAATGGAAGTTTTAATTAATTAAAAAAACAGCATAGGCTAACTTGATTCTGACGTTAGAAAAAAGTTAAATTATCAATATATTTGTTATTATCCAAGTGAAGAGTGATCATTCCATCGATTTAATTAATAAAGAAATTTAAATTAATAAACCTTTTCAACTGTTTTGCTAATTTTGTCGCTAACTGAAAATTATTTTTTTTTTCAAAAATTTTTAAAAACTTTTTTTTTTAAAGCTATTTTTCTTTCCCTTATACCACGCAATTGCGATTTATTTTTAGCCCGCAGTCCTCATCTAATTAAAAGAGTGTGTAACTACAATTTTGAATGACATAGTGGCCACTGCGTGCGCATTAGTCACAATGGTAGAAATTTTTATAACTAGATCCCTAAGTAGACACATAACCGCGCTGTTTCATGCGAGTAATACAATAGCTGCTTCTATTGTTGTGATCCCTTTCATGCTGGCGAGGCGAGCTAATCATCCACTTAAGCGCCCTTTGTTGCCTTAAGCCACACGTACTTACGTGAGGACACCGTGTGCCCTCTAAATAAATTCAAAAGACGTAATAAAAATCAACAAATTGGTCTATTGTTTTATAGCTTCAATAAAAATTCAACAAAAAAGTGTACACCAATGTTTGTGAAAAAGTAGATTTATGATTTCTTTATTTTTGGTTCACTTTCCCTTTAAATATATTTTTTTTAATCAAAGTCATGAAATTGCATTTGTGTAGCTATCGTAAAGATTTTTAAATTTACGCCAAGGGGCGAGAAATATTCAAACAAATCTTTTGGTGGTAAATGGTGACTCAGCATCCGCATTAAGCTCAAATTTCCTCGCCCGCATTTCAAATTGTCGTATTTCTACTCTTTGTTTCAGAACAAATTATATCTCCCTTTTTCTATGCCTTTTAAAACCAATTGAATAATTGGTTATTTAAATAGTAAGTCGAATCTACTTTTAAGGTTGCATATTTCTCCTGGCCCAACCTTTGGATTGTCGGCAGCAGAGTCAGGGTCCTCCCTTCATCAAGGGAGTTCCCGTCACCGTACGAGACCGAGAAAATGCCACCGTTTCCATTCCTTGTGTGGTAGAGAATTTAGGTAAGTCTTTCTAACCACTCTTAAATAGGCGCTAGAGTTTTTAATAGGCAAATTTTTATGTATCTTATCGTTGGCGGCTCACACAATGGCACATTATCGAGAGCGGCAGCCCGCATTATTAACCCTTTGGTGACCCTGTGTCGATCATCACCCAGTCTGATCTTTTTATCGCTTAAGAATTTTAATTGACAGGCCAATATTAATATAAGTGAAGAAAGTAGACGTGCAGACAGACGTGGTTAACTAAATCGACGATTTGAAGCCAATAAAAACGTCATTACTAACAATTATAGGAGGACTAATTTAATAAAATACTCTTGATCAAATAAAAATCAGGTGCATCCACGTTAAGATGGCTCAAGGGTGAGGAACTTATTGTTGAGCGCACGGCGGTGGACACCGACCCTGTGGTTTCTCCAAACGACCCCAGAATCTCAGTTTGGCCAGACAATAGTCTGCAGGTGAAAAACCTGAGGGAATCAGACGATGGAGAATACACCTGTCAAGTTGCTCGACTTCCACCACTTAAGTCAATCCAACGGACGAATGCGATTTTGGTGCTTTGTGAGTATGCACAAGTTTTAAAGACTTCCAAAGAGGATTACGCTTTTTATTCAAGACCCACCAACTGTTCATTTAAATCCTGACGTGGAAGAGTTTGAAGTGGAGTTGAATTCAATAGTTTCTATTGAATGTGTCGCCGACGGAGTTCCAAAGCCGATCATATCATGGACTGAATATGTAAAAAATATTAAATTTATTTTTTAAATTTTCTAAATATTTTTGTAAACAAAGGGCGGCGCTGTGCTCACGCCAGACGAATTGAAAATGCTGGGGACCGTCCCGAAAGTTGAGTTCCGAGCAACGACAAGACATGCGGCAGGGCGGTTCACATGTGTGGCCAACAATGGGGTTGGAGAACCAGTGAGCGCGTCGACGCGTCTAAAAATACTGTGTAATATAAGTGACACTGATTTGCGTTCATTGCCAAGAGAGTACTTCTTGTCGAAGTGCTATACCCGTGAGAATTTAATTGACGACATGTGTGAATTTTGTAGATCCACCCGAAGTGACCATGGAAAGGGAGTGGGTGCACACGGGCCACGGCGCCAAAAGCGAGCTCACCTGCCGAGTCAATGCCGAGCCAGAAGCCAAGGTTGCATTTGTACTCCAATTACACATTCCAATTTTAATTTTATCTTTACAATTCAATTCAGGTGGAATGGTTAAGGCCGGACGGAGAAATTTTTTCTCCCTACAGCAACCCTAGGTTTGCGATTTCTGTACTGGGTACGAGGAACACGCTCATCATAAGAAGCGTCCGCGATAGTGATTTGGGAAAATACAAATGTATGGCAGAGAACATCATGGGAAAAGGCAGCGCAACTCTGGAGCTTACTGGTTAATTTTTATAACAGTTTAAGAATTTTAAACTGAAAAAATTTTCCCTAGGTCTTTGTAATCCAGTAAAGATAAAAGAAAAGCTTGGCCTTGCCATGGACTTGTCCTACAGTATCATTTGGGAAGTTGATTGCTATTCTCAAGTTTATGATTATCTACTGAAGTTTAAAAAAACAACGGTAAAAATTACCTATTTTGGAAATTTTGATTTAAAATTATTTTCCAATTTTTAGGATATCGAGTGGTATAATCTGACGATCCCGTCTGCAAGCTCACATACGTATACCGCAGTTTACTCCCAAGATTACAATTTGAGTGGGTTAGAACCATCAACAGAGTACCAGGTTCAAATTCAAGCTAGAAACAAATATGGTCTAGGCAGGCCGTCTAAGATTTTTTCTTTCACAACTCTTGGTTATGGTAAAATCAAACTAATCTCTTCTTAACTTCGTATCACATAAGTAAATGTTCAAAAACAGGACAAGCCCCCACTGAACCTATAAACCAAGAAGAATTGGAAGTGATAGAGAAAGAGGAAGTTATCGAGCAAGTTCATGTCACTGTGGTGAAAACAGCAGTTTTTGCGACAACATCTGCTGGCACAACAGTTGAGAAAATTCCAATAATATTTGTTCTAATTGTATTTTTCAATGTTTTTGTAAAAGTCTGTTAAAATTTTGTACTGTTCTATGCCATTAAAATTAAAATATTTTTAGCATTATCTAATTGTTTTTAAAGTTTACAAACAAATATTATGTTTTTAACTACATAAACTTATGCTTTATTATTTTAACAGCAAATTACAAAATGGCATGATTTATACCCAAACAGCGGGTGGAACTTGAAATAGAAAAATTAAACACTCGTCAATTCTTGATTATTTGAAACAGGTTTTTTGTGCATGAGTGAATTTTAAGTAAAGAAAAATGAACTTCAGAAATTCAAATTCAAATCAACCAATTAATTAATCAGAGAAAGGCACCAAGCCTAGAGAGAGGAAGCTCACCTGACTAGAAGTGGTCTCTGCTGCGGCCTCGAGCATAATCGCCTCGAGCGCCTCCCCTGTTTCCACCACGACCACGTCCTCCATTGTAGAATGAACGATCGGTGTCACTTCCTTGCTGGCTCCAGCCACCCTGGACTCGGCTTCCTCCTCCTCGGCCGCCACCCCTATGACCTTGGTAGCTGTCTTGCGGAGCATAGTTACTAGAGGTACCCATCTGTTGGTTGTCACGGTTGGGTTGCACATATCCACCACGACTATTTTGGCCACGCCAGTTACCTGGGAAATATTTTAATTTTAGTAAAGGTATGCTTTTATGGAAATTAGTAGATTTTTAGCAAAACATAATATGTTTTTTGTAAATTGATGATAACCTAAAATTTGCTCAATTTAAATTTTTTAGGTTTCTTTTTGGAATTTTTTGTAGGATTACAAAACATAAGTTGAATGCTGCTTTAATATTTAAATCTATACCTCTGCCACCGCCACCGCCTCCTCCACCTCTAGGTGCATCGGCAACTCTCTTATTCTGCCAGCTTGGCATTTCTTTGGGAGGTGCTGCTTGCTCTGATGGGCGGCCTCCTCTGTCCGGAACTTTGCCAATGATGATGTCATTGACACCAGACTTGGTGTTCTTCCTCACAGAGGCGTTGCTAGTCTTTTCGAGAATTGACAAATCTAAACGGGCGGCCAGCAGGTCCGAAATGTCTACAGCTGGCTCCTTGCAAAGGGCGCTCTTTCTGTTTTGATATTCTTTGGCCATGTCATCCTGCCTGTCTTTTAGTCTATCGGACCACTAAAAGTTTTGTAAAATTAACAACTAAAAATTTGACCTTATACAATTTAGTACCTCAAACGACTGCACAGTCACATTCAGCCTCGTGATCAAAAGTTCACGACGAATTTTAAACTCGCTGTGCAGTTTCTGTTGCTCCTTGACCAGTGCCTTCCACTTGTCTGGATTCATTGGCTTGTCGAAAATTGCTTTGCTGACCAGATCGGGATGAGCCGTCTTCAGAATTTCGGCAAGCTTTAAGAAACATAGTAAGCATGGGACTATAAAAATTCAATTTCTTTTACTACCTTGGTTTCAACTTTGGTGAAGAGAGCAGCGGCAGTGATGTTGTCAGGGGGCTTGGAGAATTTCAGTGCCAGCAACATATTTTTTAGATCATTGTGCGGAGACGCAAGAACCTGATAAAGAAACACAATAATTTATAAAATCAGTATTATTATCCGTTAACGAACAGGTGGTGGTTTGGCAGATCTGTTGGACTCAGGGTTGTTTGCTTCAATCATTTTGGCTGATTGCAGCTCAGAGAGAAGATACGTTAGGAGAGCATTACGTGCTGCCTTTGTCTTCAGTCTTTCATTGACTGGACCCTCAATAAGGTCACCATAAGGACAACCTATTATGTTAAAAAATACAAAACGTTACAGGTTAAAAAAATTGATTTAAATTTACAAAATTTACCAAGTTCCTTCAAGAAGCCGCTCGTCTCCAGCATAAAGTGCTCAGCATCTTCCGGATCGGTTACAGGAGTGATGTGCTCGTCGAGGTCACACAGAGACTTCAGTTCCTGGCTGAGCCAGGCAACTAACTCAGTGAAATCTTTGGAAGTCACTCCATCTTCGATTGCCTTCCTGAGACGGCCGTCCTCATGCATGGGCCCGGTATACCTATGTATGTATCATTATGCATTATTATCATAATTAATTCGCATTGATTAATTTTTTTTAGAAATTCATGCATATAATTATGTACATAATACGAAATTTTTAGATTAATACAAATTGTCATGATCACGAATCACTGACTTGAAGTGAGTCAAAGTTCATTTCTCAAGTGACAATTTCCAAATTTTAAAATGCCGGTGCACAAAAAAAAATATGCTCTCCTAAATCGTCTCTATGTACATAAATCCAGTCAAATTGCACTTACCCGACATCACCAAGGATCTCAATAATAGCTCGCTCCATAATGTACCGGAAATTGTTAGCTAGTGCAAGATTTTCAAGCTCAAATAATGACAAAGCAACGAGGAACTTAGAGACTTTTGTTTGGTGTGTTTACTGCTGTTTTTTCAGCACCGTCTCATTTCTCATCCTTGTTTCTCATTGTCAGCTCAATCAAAACACACAGGGCTGCGCGCGCAACTTGTGGGAACAACCGAGTCGAGACCCGCGAATATAGCCCCTTCTGCCTGGGCCAGGATCAATTAAATCATTAATGTTAATTTGTTAATGGTATTAATTATATTATGCGATCAATGGTTAAACCGTTAACCGGGTTAAGCAAAAACTCACACAAATACAATATTTTGAATTCAATCTAACATCTAATCAGTTAATTTTTATTTAGTTACATTACATTTCGCGACATTATTTCCGATTATTTCGATCACAAAAATTAATTTTTCTGTGCCGCTCAATAATAAAAGGATTGTTCTTTTAATTCATTGCTATTCCCAATCACTATTTATGGATGATTAAAAGATCACTCACTTTTGGATCTTCCAATATAAATTTGAAGCCAATTTGGTCAAGAGTCAAGACCTCCAAACAGGAAATATTTTTTGGCTTGTCTAGAAAACAACATACTTGCATACCCTTGACACTGAGAATCAATTCAAGTCTCGGAGCGGCATGACTGGAAGAAGGCAGAGGGTACTTTACTAATAACATAATGCAAGTGCTCGGCTTTATAGTTTGAAAAAGCAGAATTAAAGATATAGACTTAGCCCATGCTGCATATATGGATCCAATTATTTTTTTCAAACACATAATACCTGATATTATTTATAATTATATTATTTGATGAATGGTTTTTACACTAAAATACACTATTTATTTAATTGAATCTCATAACTACAGTAGTCAATTTTATTTATACATATAGGTATTTTACTATTTTGATGGCACGTCAAATTTTATAGGAATTCTTCAAATTTACATTCATAATTGTTTCTAACGACTAGAGATGAATGCTTAAAAGAGCACTCAATCGTCCAAAACAAATTTGAAACCAATTTGTTGAAGCCCACCAAATAGAAAAGATTTTTTGGCTTCCCTTGAAAATTCAAAACTTGCAACATCGCACTGAATCAATTTGAGTCTTGGAGCATGAACTGGAAGGAGGCAGAGGAACTTAACCAACTCAAGGCAAGTGCTGGGCTCATCACTGATACAAATAAACTCAAATGACTTAAGATTCTGCAAAATGCGTCCTTTAACTAGCATCTCAGTTAAATGGGCCAAGTGATAATTATCAGAAAAATTCAATTTGTCCGACAAAGAAAATTTCTTTAAGTCTGGCGCTGCCAGGACAAGTGCAGTTAAATCACGAGGGAAATCTTCTTCAATGCATGTGAAAGAAAAATGTTTCATGTACTTGAAGTTGTTGGCGTTCACTTGAAATTTAAAGAAATTGTCCTCTCCGTCGTACAGATCTGAGAAAACGTCAAGTGTACGGAGATTTGGGCACTTGACAAGTAACTCGTAAGGGTTTGTACCAACTTCAGAATCTCCCTGACTCAAAATCAGTTTGTGAAGCTTGTCACCACAGTGGGTCAGCAGATCAGAAACATGAGAATCTTTGACATCACTCAAATGCAAATCTGTTAGGTTGAAAAGAGCTCCAATTCCATCCAATTGCATTTTTAGAGGCCCTTTCAGATGCAGTTTTTCCAAAGAGGGGACAAGTTGTAAATCAAAGTCACCCTTAACATAAATTTCTTTAAGGGATAGTTTGCTTTTGCCTCGGTAAGGACGGAAGTTGTGGTGCTCTGCGCCTCCTGAGCAGTACTGTAAGCACGGCAGCTGCTCCATGCACTCTGCTTTGAAGTGCTTTGAGTAGTGGGTCTGCTCATCAGTCTCCAACTAAACAAATAAAAGGTCAAAATATTTTTAACATTGTGAACATAATATAATTATATGATTTAACAAACCTTGTCATCGTTAAAATAAAAATCATATGTGCACCAATTGATGTCCAGTTGTTCCAGGTTCTGGAGAAGGAACAAATTTTTCAAAGTGTCAAAGTAGACCAACTTGATGGTGACACACAAAGTTTGTAGCTTCGGAAAATGGTGAGCAAGCTGCGCCAAGTCTTCAGAGTCACAAATATAATTTTTCAGGACAATATGCTTTAGTTTCTGGAATTTCAGCAAGTAAGGCATCACATTTCTCAGGAAAAATTTTTTCTTGGGGTCTTCCTTCTTTGGCGATAAATATGTCATAGAGTCAGTTTGATGATAGCGCTTGTCAGAGATTCTCTCCAAGTTGGGACACTTTTCAACAAGCATAAACCACACTTTTTGGTCACGCTCAGTGTCCGTCCAGTGCAATCGACAACCAAAGATGCCAAAGTCAAACTCCCTTATGTTGGCATTCAAGAGACGAATAACCAATTCTAACATCCAATCAGCCTTGGCAGGGGATAGCCAATTTTCAGTGCTTTGTTGGCTTGCCATGTAACTCAAGATTTCCTTTTGCAATGGAGGAGCTGTAATCAAATAAACTTACTTATTAATAAAAATCAATTTTTTTTCTGCATGAATTATTAGTTTTAAATATTTAAAATTATATTTTAACTATTTTGAGTGTACATACAATACTTCATGGAACTTTTTGAAATTAAAAGTCACACAAAAATTTCATTTAAAATTTGCAAAAGTTTTTTTTGTATAATAACTCACACAGATACTGAAATGGCTCTAGAGAGGTCTGTGCACATTGTTCTCTTGCTAATTTTTCCAAAGCCAGGTTTTTCAAAGGCCTCAGGTTTTTCAATTTTGATCTTTTCACTCTGGCATTCTCCAGAAGTTGGTCTAACTCCAAATCTCCATCAGCGCTTCTGAAATTATAATTTTTTCATTATTTGGCTTCCGTACAAAAGACGTGTTGACTAAAATATTTGTACCTTCTTGCTCTTTTTGACATTTTTTGATTCAGTTTTGGTTTTGGGTGAGAAGTTTAATCATCCTTTGTCAAAAGCTGAGAGTAATTTTGCTTATGTAAATTGCCTTTCAAGCAATAAAAAATTGCCACATTATCCTAGATTCACTGAAAGCAACACACTGTATAAATTAAAAAATGAAATTGAACTGAAGTTAAATGACGCTTATGCTAACCACAAACTCACCAGTATATTCCCAGATCTAACAATAAGCTGTCGCTAATTTTCCAGTTTGTAAAGCTAAAATTATGTCTCAGTGTGAGTGAGAAGTGAGAGGCGAAAAACCATCAACGCCATCAACAAGTCAAATATCCAACAAAAACATAACATAACCACATGGCATGGCGGGCATGGCTTTACCTTGTGTGACGTCACAGTAGTCTCCTGGCTCCTGCGCTCTGCTCTGCGGCACAGCCCAGAGAGCCGCTTTTGTACATCATGAAGAAAAAGAAAAAAAGAAACTCGTCGTCTTTATGGTTCGTAATTTTTGTAAAGCGACACAATAGGGAGTGTGCTGTACATCAAACTATGAGCAATGAGAAAAGGCGAGATTTTGACCTCATCAATGGTTTTGGTCGGAAATAAAATATATAATGGATGCGCTAATTAAGTTAGCACCAGCAAATCCCATAAGAAAGTTAGCATGTGAATGAATATCCATATCATATCCCCCAAATAATTTTTTATACAGAAACGTTAAATAATGCTCAAGAATGAAGAGCAAATTTAAAAAAAAATAAATATTACAATTATACAAAATCTGATCTTATTGATATCTCTATTCTCTATTGTGTCTTTTTACTGTCGTTGATTTTTCAAATCTGGGCTTCCAAAGTTTTTGTAATTCCTTTATTTTTATTTGTGAATTATTATTAAATTTAACAGATATGTTAATTTATATTTTACTATATATTTTATTTTGTGAACAAAAACAGTTGAGATTAAAATTTTGATAGTAAAAATAATTTTTTTAAATTATATTATTTATTTTGTTGAAGATAATTAACACATAACATATTAAAACAATTAAGAGTTTTGCAATTTCAAAACTTGAAAGTAACATAAGAAACAATAATTTAGACTCCACAAATATTTGCATAAAATATAGCTGAAAATTTTAATTACGTTCTAAAAATATAAGGAAGCATTGAAAGTTAATGAACAAAATTAAATATTAAAATGGAATCCAGATATATAAAGAAATGCCTGCAATAGACTGCACAAGCTCCTTACTTCAATTTGATTTTCAGTATTTCATTTGTTAATCTTCTTATCAAAATATAGTTGATCAAGACTTTATTTTATAAGTTACTGAGATAATTTTGTCCTCCGTATAAATATTTTGTTAACCTTGCCAAATTTTGACGAGAACCAAAAATAGATATGGCGCAAAAATTGGCAACGATAATAAAATTCATTCTTAAAGATTACTAATTTGTTCATATTGGTTCCCATTTGATTTAGCAATTATAAAAATTAAAGCAGAATAGCAGAAATATTAAAATAGTGTAAGAGAGTAAATATCAATGAGAACACCTTAAGCCGAACTACTCCCTCTCCTAAAATTATTGCATAGCGTGAGCCCCTCGTTTGTTTACATACAAAACTATTCCGTTACTCTTTCTTGTTGATCTGTTTTTTCTTTTAAAAAGTGAAACATCGAAAAAGTTGATCTAAGAAACGGCTCGGCTGTCAGTTGCCATTTTAAATCCGTTTTGCATTGCTGAGAGCCAAGATATGGTTTGACTTTTATTGCAGTCAGGTGGTGCCAGTAGAGTCATTTCTTTCACAGTACCTTCATCATTCATATAGGTGACAAACATTCCTGGAAATTTTTAACATTATAATTTATTTACTCTTAGAACTTATAAAATTAGCAGGTTGATTTAACATACCATCCCACAAATCTTATAGGAGAGCAAAAAGGAAATTTGAAGTTAAAATTCCTAAAAATTGTGCGTTCGGAAATAATTCCTTACCTGGAGGTACATCAGGAGAGCGTAGGAGATTCAATTCCATAATGTTGACCAACTGGACAGGTTCAAATTCATCGCCTGTGCTGCCTTCAAAGTTTAGTAGCCTGAGAATAAATTCCAAAATTGAAATAAAAATCATGCAACATTAAAAAAAAATCAACCTGTGGTCTTGCGAAAGCCGACAAATGAACTCGAGCCGTTTTTCGTTACCCTCCGGCAACTTAACGAGTTGGAAGAGAGCACCAGCAGTGAGCATTCTTAGTTCCTTGTCAAAAAATTCATTTTCTTTCCGTGATATGTCTGCGCAGCTCTCACAGTGTCTGACAGGGTCCACAAAGCACATTCGTGGAAGTTCCAGTCTGAAGTCACAGCAGTTCTTGCAATAAATCCTCCCGCAACGTCGACAGTGGTGCTAAAATAAAATTTAATCATAAGATATCAAAATGTACAGAGATCAAATCACTAACAAGACAATTATTTTTTAATAATAGGTCTTGGACAGTTATTTCAAGAATTTACTTAAAACGGAACATTCACATAGAACATAGCAGAGTAAAGCAGGATTAAATTTAGAAACAAAAATTGTTTACTTTGGATCAAATTTTTTTCTGTACCAAGGATAATCAAAACAAAAGTGATAATATTATCGGATATATTATATCAACTATTTCTTCATTTATCTTTCTGGAAAAAATATTTGAATGAAATATAATAAAGAGCAGTAAATGAAATAGATCAAAAGAATGTACTAATATTAAATAATTTCAGATTAATTTTATGGTTGATTATTATAAATCAATTTATTTATCATAATTAATTATAAATAATTTTTTTTAATTGAAGGATTTCACTTTAAATTTTAAATAAAAACGATTTGTGTATTCTGGTGTATTCCATGTTGTTTTTTTATGACTAAATCAAATCTGATTTGGTTACTAGCTTGGGCATAGTTGGCTGTTATATCATATAATTATCTTTCTAATTGGCAATATGTATTATGTACAAAGTTCACGAAACGGATGTCAACTTCTGCTGTCGCTTATCAACCGCAACATGCTAAAATGTGCTAACCGCAGAATCAGCATATGTACTCAAGACAGGGAGTTATATATATGTATATACCCAAAATATTATGTCAAGTGCAAAATACAAAAGCAAACTTATGTACATGTAAAACACAAGAAAAAAATGCTTACTCTTCTCGTGAGAAAGTCGAACTTCCTTTTGCAGTCTGTACAACAGGCACTCTGAAAGTACATAAATCACAGTATTGGACCTAAAGACGTCTTCATAAGGCTTAAAATACTCACGTCTTTGTCTGCCACCCACTGAGGCTCGCCCAAGAGAAATGGACTTTTGTTTGAGTCGTCGGTGGCCACAATCCGCAATCCAGATTTTGAGCGTATCAAGCGTTTAACGCACTTGTTCTCCATGCTCGTAAGATTGCGAGTGTCCAACTTTCACATCCGCTAGTCTGGACACCAGCTAATTGATGCGATTAAGTCGCGTAAGCTGTAATTGCGGGTAATTTACTGGAGCCTATCTGGACCCACCTACCCTAGCCATGCCATGTTTACACTTGGAGTTTGGAGTAGCGAGTTTTTCCTTATTGCCGGTAGGGGGCTTTTTTACTAGCCAATGACCTCTGGCTTTGGTTCGGTCCATTCACGAAAGAAGAAAATTATTATCAACTTCATGTATTACGAGTTGAAAATTTCTGATACACAAAATTAATATGAGCTGTAAAAAAATGCATTCATTTGATAAATTGTTCAGAGAAAGAGTTGAAAGATATTCAATAATTACTAGATACTATATTAACATAATAATCCCCGGCAATCAGGAATTAACAATTTATTTACATTAAATTATAAAGAAGCAGGTGAATGTTCTTTCTCCAATGGGTTGATAATACTCCCTATGGCTCTTGCATCGCTCAACGATCAATCTCGCCAAACACAACGTCCAAGGTGCCTAATTTATGTATTAACAAAAATAGTTATCTTTCTTTAAATTTTGAATTTGACTTACCAATAATAGCTACAATATCTGCCAACATGTGGTTCTTTCCAATTTTATCTGTGGCAGCCAAGTGCGCAAATCCAGGAGCCTTAATCTTGCATCTATAAGGCTTGGAACTGCCGTCGGAAACTAAATAAACGCCAAACTCGCCTTTCGGCGCCTCGATAGCTGTATAAGTGGCTCCAGGTGGAACCGAGTATCCTTGAGTGTACAGCTTAAAGTGATGAATGAGAGCCTCCATTGAAGTCTAAAAATGTAATTCTGAGTACAAATATTATATAATTTTTGTAACTAATACCTTCATCTCGGATCTTGTGGGTGGACAGACTTTGGCGTCATCAGTTCGAATGTCGCCTGCAGGCATTTGGTTTAAGCACTGCTCAATTATCCTCAAAGATTGTCTCATTTCCTCAGCGCGAATCAAGTATCTGTCATAGCAGTCCCCTTTGACTCCAATTGGGACGTCGAATTCCACTTTGTCGTAAGCGTCGTAAGGTTGAGACTTGCGCAAGTCCCATTTGATTCCAGAGCCTCGCAACATGACACCACTAGAGAAATATTCATTACCATTATGAAGCATCAAAATATATTTTCAGATAAATGTTTAACAAAGAGATATGACGAAATAATCAAAATATTATTCATGCGGCATTAATTCCACAACATTGTTATTTTTAATTTTGTATTGTTATACCTGAAACCGTAGTTCAGAGCATCCTCAGCAGAAACGATGCCAATATCCTTTGTTCGCTGGACCCAAATTCTGTTGGTGGTCAAGACGTCTTCAACTTCGTCAATACGCTCTGAAAACTTGCTTGCAAACTCATAAATGTCGTCCATCAATCCAAGAGGCATGTCCTACAAATTAATTAAATCATAAGATTTTGCAAAATTTAAGAGAATTTAAATAATTATATATACCTGGTTAACTCCACCAGGTCTTACGTAGGCTGCGTGCATTCGGGCACCGGAAACTCTCTCGTAAAACTCCATCATCTTTTCTCGCTCCTCGAAAAGCCAGAAGAACGGAGTCAGTGCACCAATATCCAGAGCATGAGTGCCAATGGCCATGATGTGGTTCAGAATTCTGGTGAGTTCGGCAAAGAGAGCTGGAGAATGCATAGAGAAGAAAATTACACAAGTTGAAAATAATGACAAAAATCTTACTTCTGATGTACTTGGCTCTGAGAGGAATGTCGATGTTCAATAACTTTTCCACAGCCAAAGAATAGCACTGCTCGTTGCACATCATGGATACATAGTCGAGTCGGTCGAAGTAAGGCAGTGCTTGAGTGTAGGTCTTGTACTCGATGAGCTTCTCAGTGCCTCGGTGCAGGAGACCGATGTGAGGGTCTGCTCTCAAGACCGTCTGAAATGCATTGATCAATATATTATTAACTAACAAATTTTAAAGCAGATTTTACCTCTCCCTCAAGCTCTAGGACTAGACGAAGCACACCGTGAGCCGCCGGATGTTGAGGTCCAAAATTTAGAGTAAGGTTCTTGACTTTTTTCTCAAATGTGGGCTTGACAAAATTGTATGGCAGCAACTTCCACTTGGAGGTGACCTCGTCAGGATACAAGACAGCACCCTCATACTGCTTGATGAAATCAAGATCGGGGAACCATTTCTTTGCTCCTCTGGTTTGCTGTTTGCTGCAAAAGGATGGAAAATTATCAAAAGCAAAAACCACAGACGACTGGTGGAAATGATTTTTGTATTTTTTCTGAGCGGGAATGTATTTTATTAAAAAATTTATGCCATAAAAAATTTGAAATTAGCTATCAGTTCAAATGTAAAATTTTACAGTTTTATGTAGTTTTTATTACGTAATTGAGTTAATTTAGAAAAATTTCTTAAGCACAGCTGGTCGATAACAGACAAAAACACCGGCATTCAAAGTAGATTTTCTACGGCTAGAGGCAAGGTTCAGGCACTTTTGAGGCATAAATAAAATCTACGTACTTGGCCACATATAATGAGCCTCCGTTCTGCAACAAAATCTTGCCTCCGGTCGGCAAATTCACCGCCGATTTGCGAAGAACAGCGTGTAACACACTGGCAGCCATTTTTCGGACGGCTGATCGACGAAAAAAATATTTGAAGTTCGTGAGGGCACCACCGTCGCAGTCGCAGAATTAGCGGGTGTTCAGCGGGTTGCAGCATCCAGGCGGTCGTGGCGGTGACGGTGCTCACTGGAGCAAAGTTCAATAACCGGTTGGGAACCGTAACTCTATTATGAGTGAAATGCTAAACTATGAGCATTTAATTTGGAAGGTAAATTATTAATGAGTACTTTGCCATGAACAATGGATCGAAAATGTTTTACAAATAATGCAATTTTTAATTATCGGTAGTGAAATTTCTTTACCACCGGTTCTCCAGATGGCAATGTTTAAACCACGCCCCCCAGAGCACCAGCGTTTCCACGGGAAAGAGGCAAGAGGTATGCAGCAGAAGTGACAAGTAAACACGGGAGCCGTGAATTTAGTATTAAAATTTGATCGCACCGAGTCACGAACGAGCGACGGACATTCGATTGGGACCTGCGAAGGCACGTGACTATTTTCATGAGACTTCATTGAGCACATATCGGGAGAGACGCCAACACAACACACACAGGGTGCCTGCGAGCGAGGGGATGTTTTGACACCAGCCGTACAGCACCACCACTCGCGCTCTCATATCATCTACACGGAGATATAATTTGGCCGCTTTTGCCGCAATAGCGCTAGCTCGCCGACAACTATTTTGTCTTCCTCTCCGCCGCTCGTGAGTTTCACTCTTTTTTCAACCTGGAGACCCTCGATACCCAAGTGGACCTTAAAGTAAGTTTTTTTTATTTCTCTACTTTTTCGCACGTCCGTATCGAGTTGCCATTCGCAATACTGCGTCGCACTTGAGTTGGCGCGCGTAAATTTTGCTCTACCCATATACATTACATAAACCGCACACACCAGAGAAAAATATGAATTACACGGAACTGATTTTGTTCAATCAACAGATCGACGACATGGAGCAAGTGGACGCCAGCAGTAAAAACGATGTACGAGCCGAGACTGTTGTAAATCTGCCCCAGCAGGCCCGGCCCAGTGTTAGCGCCGCCGTTGGTGAGTTCTTTTTTCACTTAAAACTTTGGACCCTTTTAAATGAGAAGTCTGCACGAGACGTCCTTTTTTCGATTATGATCGCACGCGAATTTGTTGACCGTGGCCAGGAAAGCGTTTTGTAATTAACGAATGTTGTACCGATTTAATCGCCACATTTATGCAAATGAAATTGTTCCCGAACGTGTCGTGTTGAGTTATTATATAACACGTACGGCATAGCGCGCGCGGTATCAGGTGCGTGAGCTTGTTTTGCAGCCTGGACGGTGGGAATTTGCGTTTTGTGCTATTTATTATTAGTCCGTGCGCTTTCCTCGCGGGCATGAAAGCGACATTAGTCAACAGTTGTCTCTGCAAGTGGAACCGTCGTAATAACAATGAGCTTTGTGAGGGTGCACTCTCGAGAGAGTGTGTGTGTATTTTATAGTTTTTACGTGTTGTTTGCCCGACTTTGCGCGAGCTTGCTGTTGAATATTGAATGCGCGCTTACGCGGAAAAGCTCCACTGTTTAAGTTTAAGTTTGCTTGTATAAATCGCTGAAAATAATTCAATCTTTGATAAAATTGGATCGGGCATGTAAATTCTCTTGGAGAAAGTTCCAAATTCTTGCAAGGAAAGAATTCCTCACAGAACATAACTTAAAAAATTTGATTTCAGATGTTCTTATTTGTTTTTTAGTAAAAAGAAACATTTAATTTTTTTTCAATAATTATTTATCCCTCTTGAGTGTGGCGAAGCGATAGCAGTCTTGCATGCTAAATCTCAAGGGCCGATAACAATGTTTTTCCATAGAACCAATTAGACCCACTAGGCTGATTCTAATTTTTACTGAATTTTTTACAATCATTGATAACAAAGAGTGATAAGGTAACAATCAGTCCAGCCTGGAGTTTAATGAGAATTTTTCTTTTTACATCTAGAACATTCTGGTTTACGTCGGGAGATCAATAAAAAAAAAAAGACAAATATTCATATAGAAAAATAAAAATAATTATGCTTAACAACTTAAAGCTACCAACTAGTTTTTTTTTGCCTATAATGCTTTACACGCCACCTGCTAAAAAAAAATAAAAATTTTTATTATTATTATTTAATTTTTACGCTGAAAGGTTCTATTCAGATCAACTAAGTAATAAAATAGTCTACAAAATACACACGCGCAATAAAATTTAGAGTTGTAATGTTTCATGAAGAATAAAGTTTTATTTTATTCAATTCAACACAAAAATGAACACTTTATTTAAGTGCCAAAGTATATATTTTTTTAATTAGATCCTTCTACACGAAATTTGAAGTTGGTGATTTTCAATAAAACTTATTTTAAGCCAACTTGGTGATCTAGAGTGCAAACAAGGTCGGCCGAATCGGTTTGAAGCAATAATCCGCAGTCGGCTCAGCATTTTGCCGCACAAAAGCTCAAAGAAAGAGATTTTTATCTCGACGTTTCTGTGCCGGGCGCGCGCGACATCACAAGCAGAGATGGCTGATAGGCGGGATTCACCGTGCAGACTTCTGGTCCTTTGACTTTTCCTTTTTCCTCTTCCCGCTCGTCGCCCCGGTTTCGTTGAAGGCCTGCGTTGCATGCGCTCTTGCAGCCTTTCAAGCCTGTGCAGGAAGAAAATTCTAACTGATTGATCTGTCTGCTAAGAGCCGCTGCGGCCCTTGGTGTACCTGCAAGCGCCGGAGATCATGGATCTCCTGAGCCGGCAGGGCTCCGAGCGGTCCTCCCCGGCGGCCCCTGCGGCCCCAAAATGCTCCAAACTGCAAAGACCGTACCGAGAACCGGCGCCCATTTCTGAACGCATTCAGCGCCTTCGACGCCGACTCAGTCACGGTGCGTTTTATATTCTAAAAAAAAGCACAAACAGCAGCACTGCCATAGCGAGAGAGCACTCAAAAGTAGTGAGAGCAGACAAGGTATAGACCGCAGGGTACGTAATCGAATCAGTCACGAAACTCACGCAGCCCCACTCAATAGCAAAACCAAGTGCCAAAACCGGCAGTAGAAAGTTCGCAACATTTTTCCAGGGCATTCGTCAGCTGAATTTCAGATTCGCAGTAATTTATACTTCTGTTAGTTGAAAATTATTTCACTTTAGTTTGTATTTTTAGAATAGTCTTATTTGCTTGTGAGGTTTATTAGAATTGTTTCTCGTTTGTTCTGTTATTTGTTTTAGCGGAATATATAGTTTATGTTAAATTAATTTTCTATGCCCTTTAATTTCTTTATAAAATAAATACTTTATATTTAGTTATTTTATGTGTTGTCTTATGTTGTATTATTGGATTATGATTTATTCAATCTAGCGATTTTGGCGGAAACTTTGGCCAATCAATTCTCATATCACGGGATATGAGGAGGATGTGCCAGTAATAGGTCCTTCCGGACGTCAAGGGGCGTTAGAGTTGCGTCACAGCTTTGATAATAGAGCTGTTGCTCGGCTTAAGAAGCTATAAGCAGAATTCCGACTCACCCTCTACACGAACTAAGCACACACCATTCCGCCAAAGACTTCATTAATTACTCAGCAGCATACCTTTGTGCGAAAAGCTCTGTCAAAACAAACTTGCACAGATTCCTCGGAGATTAATGAATGACGTCTTCAGGCGAAAAAGGATAAAGTAAAAATAATCTACTCGCATTTAGCCGAAATTCTCGCCTCGTTAGGGTTCGGCAAATATTGGCCTTTGCTCCCTTGTGAGGAAAAGAAAGTCTTCCTAAATGTATTCTGTAATTAAAGCTGCAGCCTCTCGTCAAAAGTACATTATTTGCCATTCAACCTCGGTTGGGTAATTATAGCTCTAGCGTGTCTCCTGCCGCTCTAGACGAGTCATTAGAGCAAATATTATGCAGCCCTCGGCTCTGTTTACTCGGGTCGACTGTTAGATAAAAGTTGTGGAATCTAAACAAAAGTCACCTCTTGTGATTCTGTGAATTATGCAGTTAGTTGGAGCGGAAGAAAAAGGCGACGAGGACTTTTTTTCCATTCTGCAGAATTCTCTAATTAGGATCGATCTTGTCGCATGACAACCACTAGAGAGGGCGGTCATTAAAATTTAATCACTCCGTTGGCTCGTTCTTCTCCCTGAGCCTGTTTCTTGCGGCGCCAACTACTACCTCTTACTTTCTGTTTAACTTTCGTGTCGAGTGAGAGCGTCGCGCGTACCAAAAAGGAAGAAAAGAGTCGCTCGGGCCGAAATAACTTCTCCGCAGACAGGAAATTCGCATTTCACTGCGTCCTTTGCACTCGGTCCGTGTCTCGAACACGTAAAGCGAGATTAGGTTAGCCCCTGTGAGAATCGGGCGCTAGGCAACATGCTCGGCTGATGAGCTGCGCGGATTGCCTATTTTCGGTCTGTTCGGGGGGCCATGCGGAGTGAATATATTTCTGCTGAAATCAGCCCGTTGTGCTTTTATTGTAAAAGGATGGCGTCACGAAGCCGGTATTGCGGGTCTCCTTTTGTTGAAAGTTACACAGCGGCTTCGACGAACACTTCTTAAAGAAAATCTTTAACTTTTTTTCATAAATTAAATATTTTTATATAATTGAATAAAATTTCTAAAATACTATGAAGTAAATAAATTTGTTTTATATTTATTCTAAAAAAGTTTCTATAATTAAAAAAATTTTTTTCACAAATTTACACACATTTTATGTAAATCATTGGAATTCATTGTTCCTTTTTATTGATTAATTTTGCTTATTATCATTATTTCATTCCGTTAAGATCATAAAAATAAAAAATAAGAAAATAATTGGCATTCAAATTAGATTAGGTGTGTTTAAACGTCCGTTTATGAAATGAGAAGTATAATATTTTATAAATAAATAATAATGAAAATAATCCAGCTTTGAATTTTCAGTAGTTAATATATGTTGACAGGGTGCAATATAATAAATAATGCATAATTCTAGTTTACATCGCTTAATTAATAGTGCTTTTCTACTTTCAAAAGTTGTGCCTGCAACTATAATTAATCCTCAATCGCTGATCTCTTCGTTGGAATTTGTCAGTTGTGAATATGAAAAAATTAAATAAAGCCGATGTGCACAACGATTTCTATGAATAAGTGTCTGCAAATAGAGCAAAACAAAACGTCACCAACATTCATGATTATTGTGCATTATTTGCATTACTCTACAGCATTTACATTACAAGCAGAGCGACACGTGTTCTTGACTGTTTTCCATATGCAAGCAGCCAGACAAAATCAATTAATGCTGATTCGGCCCGGTTTTATTAGAACAGAGAGTCCGTCGCTCTCTTGCTGCACTCCCAGCTGTGGCAAACCCAAACCCATCGAGACTTTCCTCAGAAAGAATTGCACGGTTGGGCGAATGGACGGAGGGGAAAGCAAACATAAGCATCTGCTCGTTTTTTTAATAGATTCGCGCTCGCCATTATTGTTTGGGGTTAAACTGGAGCGGCCTTATTTTTATTTACCCCGCAGCAGCTTATCCATTTTAAATTCGCGCCCCTCGACGCGCGTTTGGCCTCGGCATCTGCGTCCTAATGATATTTGCGCCGATATCCTGGATAAATTATTCATAAGCAATTGTGTCAGAGTCTCGGCAGCTTCTCGGAACAGAGGGCGGCGTACTTTTTTAAGCAGGCAACACAAATTGGCAGAGAGTGTGGCGCAGCGCACTCCCTAAATGGCAATAATGCTGCCCCGCCATGCAACAAAACCCGTGAATAAAATATTTCTTGCACGCACTCGGCGTGAAATTTGTGTGGGAAAAACTGAACTGCTGACTTAGAGGCCAAATTTGGACTATTTGCTGACAAGAGACAATTTTCATCAGAATAAATAAAAAAAAAAAAATGGTAGGTACAGACGATTTTTTAATACTGCTTTGCTCAATTTTTGCATTTTGATACTCTCAAATACCTGTTAAATTAACTTCAGGGATTTTTATTTTCAAATTGGAGTAAAATATTTATCTTCACTTCCAAAAAATATTTAGAAAAAATAAGAGAACAAAAAATTAACAATTAAC